TGCAGGTAAATGGATGGAACTAGAAACTGTTATACTAAGTGAAGTAACACAGACTCAGAAAACAAATCGATATACGTTCTCCCTCATATGTGGATCCTAGAACCAAACCCTGACAAGTGGGTATGTATCCAGACATAACTACAGGAACCAGGATAATGGAAAGGAAACAGGGAGGTAAAGGAAAAGAAAGAACCTGAAAGGGAAGAACAGTAGAAAACAGGCCTTAATAAGGGAGATATGGATAAAAATTGGGTTAGTTTAAGGGAGGGGGAGGGAAGGGTATACAAGGAACCTAGGGGATAAAGGGAAAGAAGGAGCTCAAGAGACGTAGGACCATAGGAGAAGGGGGGAAATGGGGGCACCTTAATTGGGGAAACCGTGATGGAGGGGTTAGACAATGTGAGAGATAAATAATGCCTAGCTAGTTAAAAAACCCAGAGGGAACCATATTACTCCAACAACCTACTGACAAAGTATACATACCAGATCAAGAAATATGTCTAGGTAGGGTTTATCTGAGAACAATTGGTCTTTGCCAAAGACTTATCTACATGACAGACAGTAATTAAAAGTACCAGACTGGTGGAACTAACCTTCTTGGATGTTTAACAGACATACTTTGAGGCCTATAGTACTTTGGTCAGGGGGACATAAAGGACAGTTTTTGCTCCTTGCCCTCCAAGGTCGACTAGTTCCAAGGGACTATGAGCATCTCTCAAAATGTCCTGTAATTGTGGTGGGTCACCTGTCCTCTTGATCAAGGAGGCCGAGGAAACCCCATGAGAGGGACTTGAACCAGTGTCCACTCTACAAAGAGGAGTTCAACACAGAGGATTCACTTCCTCCATGCTTCTAAGCGAAGCCAGTCATGGTTGACCAGGACCTTTGACTTATCTTCACATAGGCAGAACTGATAAAAGAAAGGAGACAGGGGCTCCTCCCAAGCCCATGTGACCCCTGAAGAACAGATCCTCAAAGGACCTTAAGAGTAAATATAAATTGGTTTATCTGAGCCAACTATATGGCCTTAAACACCCAAAAGGAAAGTATAACCAAAGATTAAATGGGCCAATATAAGTTTTGAAGAGTCCATATGTATAGCTAACAGCTACATAAGAAGCAACAATGCCAGATAGGAGATACCTTCTTTTGAATTGTTGGCCAGGGTGGCCAAAGGGACTCCTATATAGTAACCCAGCATAGAACTGGGAAAATGAGCAGACCCAATCTTATCTAAAGGAATATTGACAACTGATTGTTACTAGATGAGGAACAGCTGACCTTCCTAAAAGAAAGACCTCTAGATAGGCTGACTAGATTGACCAGATGGACAAGTAGTGGGGAATGTCTAGGGGTGTCGAAAACACAGCAGACAGTAGCAGGGATATCAGGGTATAAGGGCTCTAGTGGGGGGAGGGAGGCTATGGAAGGATGCCATCTGGGAAGTGAGTGTATAGGTGAATACGATGGTTTGGGATGTTCTATGTGATACACACACACACACACACACATACAATCAACAAATTTAAAAAATGTATTACATTTGAGGAGGAAGCACGGAAATTTACATAATGCTAATTAGTAGAGGTAATAAACATTACCATTGAAATCTACCCGATGACTTTATAGACATATACAGGTGCCAAGGATCCAAGTGTAACCAATTATGACTAGTAATAATCAGATACATACAGATTAGAGATGCATGCACCAACATCTCAGTGTTAGTAGCAAAAACAATGAGTCTTTCTGCAAGGAACACTATATTCTAAAATGAAATGGAGATCTTTTTTAAAGGTTAAAACCTTATTCAATTTTATGTCTTATACAGTTTATACTGAGTTCAATATTGATAACTGTATTAATTCAACTGTGAACCTAGAAACTTACAGCCACTTGTGAAAGATGTACTCTTGCTCTGGAGTGTGTTACTGAATATGTTAAATCTGTAATGAAATGCTTCTTCTAACCATGTAGTTGTTAATTTAAAAAAAATTAAACAAAGATCTTTTTTAAAGGTTAAAACCTTATTCAATTTTATGTCTTATACAGTTTATACTGAGTTCAATATTGATAACTGTATTAATTCAACTGTGAACCTAAAAATTTCCAATTTTGAAAGAGACGCATCTTTGCCCTATAAATTGTTATTGAATATGTTAATGCTGTTGTAATGAAATGCTTCTTCTAATCATGTGGTTATTAAATAAATAATTTTTAAAAAAAGAGTATAGCTCAATGGTAGAGTGCTTGCCTAAAATGCAGGAGGCTCCAGGAGCACTGAACAGACAAAGAAACAAATAATCTTCCCAAACACATCCAGATTGGTTCAAAACATTTCCTTCCAGTGAAGCAATATAAACTACCTCAGAAATTAACTACCTTAAATCTAACTCACCCAAAGCTACAAGCAGTAGCCCATCCAAGTTCATAAGCTTTTCTCATAAGAAAACCACCAAAGATCCGATTGAAAATGTTCCGCTCCTAAAGGACATAAAGGAGTACTAATAAATTCAAGTTTATGACTAACATTATCTACAGAACAAAGAAATCAACACCACCATAGAAAAGGTCCACTTTATGTCAACTTTTAGACAAGTATGAATGCAGTCCAGCCCATTCAGAAGACTGCTCCCAAAATCCCAGTACCTGAGGGTGACAAATGTCCAAGCTCTTCAGTTTTGTACTCTCCATCCATACAGCTTTAGGAGGCAAAATTCGACTCTGAAAACTTATAGTCCTGTGCAAGTAGAGGTAAATTAAATCCTTTTAGTGCTGTGTTTTCAATACTGGCAGGAAACCGCTTCCACTCTCCATGCAAGTGTGGCTCTGGAGAAGGCCTTGGCCTTGAATGCTTCGTCAACTTGGAGTCTCACCATCTTAACTTACTTTGGATCCAGTGTGTTAAGAAACATGTCATGTATGGTGTTCCTCTCCTCAGCATTGGGAGCCATTTTCAGTAATGAAGCAGAGCTGAAGGCAATCCTTCTCCCCTTGTTCACTGGAGCATGCAAGAATGAGGAGGCATGATCAGGAGGGTTGCCCCACAGCATCTAGGATGCCTTGCAGCCTACAAAGGTATGTCTAAGCTTCAAAATCCCAGGAGAATTTAGATATACATTTAGCTGGGTGTGGTGGCATATGCCTTTAATCCCAGCACTGGAGAGGCAGAGACAGGCAGATCTCTAAGTTCAAGGCCAGCCTAGTCTACATAGCGAGTTCCAGGCCAGGTGGGGCTACAGGGAGACTCTGTCTCAAAATGACCAAAAAAAAAAAAAATTACACATACATTTAAGAGACGGCTGCAGAAGCCACCTAAAATTTCCAGAGAGGGACCAAGGACACAAGCTCAGTGGTAGAGCACTTGCCTAGCATGCACAAGGCCCTAAGTTCCATCCCCAACAGCACAAAAATGTTTCTCAGTGGGTTTTTGCTTTCAGATAGAAATTATATCAGTTTAGTATAAGAACACTGGTTTATCTTCCTGATCCACAGCCCTAACTAGCATTTATCCATTATGACACATTTCCCATTTTATTAAAAATTGGTATCTGCTGGGCGTGGGGGTGCATGCGTCTAATCCCAGCACTAGGGAGGCAGAGGCAGGTGGATCTCTGTGAGTTCAAGGCCAGCCTGATCTACATAGTGAGTACCAGGCTAGCTGGGGCTACAGGGAGACCCTATCTCAAAAAGACCAAAAACCAACCAAACAACAACAACAAAAAAACCGGATACCCATGCTCCAATATGTGATCCTATAGCACTAAATGGACTCAACAGGTTTTTAAAAAAGAGGACATGAAGGTGGAAAGGAAAAGTGAGAGGGATATGGGAGGAATCAAAGGGGAGAGAATGGGGGGATTTAATCAAAACACATTAAATACATGTATACAATTCTCAAACAATTAAAAATGAGAAAACAAATCGCTTCCCTTATAAATATGATCTGATCACTGGGCATGGTGGCGCAAGCCTTTAATCCCAGCACTTGGGAGGCAGAGGCAGGTGGATCCCTGTGAGTTCAAGGCCAGCCTGGCCTACATAGTGAGTTCCAGGACAGCTGGGGCTACAGAGAGACCCTGTCTCAAAAAGACCAAAAATAAATAAATAAATAAATAAATAAGTAAATAAGTAAATAAATAAATAAATATTGTCTGATCAATAAAACTGTCCAAAGTATGGACTCCATAGAACAAAATATAAGGTATTTGAATACTAAAAAATTCTTAGCATGAATAAGACATTTGATTAGTGTAAGGAGTGCACATAAACCTCAATAATCCCTCCTGCAGGATAATTAATATTAATATGCTTTTAAAATTGGTTTTACTATAAACAAATTAACATACATTCTCCTTGTCTAATGAGCGCCTCCTCCTCCGGGTTTTCAGGGATGAGTGGATTTACAAATGCCGGCCTAAAGAAAAGAAAAGGTTCAGTTTAAGATGTGGGCTTCAGGGCTGGAGAGATAGCAGTTAAGAGCAGTGGCTGTTCTTGCAGAAGACCTGGGTTTGAATCCCAGCACCCATATGGTGGCTAACGACCGTCCATAATTCCAGTTCCAGGGGAGTCAATGCACACAGGCAAAATACTCATACACACTGAATAAAAATAAATAAAATTTGCTCAGATGACAGAGTTATCAAGGTTTTTTGTTGTTATTGTTTTTCTCATTTTGAGAGTCTCACTATGTACCACAGGCTGGCCATGAACTAACTAGTAATCTGCCTGCCTTAGCTTTCTGGGTGTTGGAATTACAAAAGGCCTGTGTGTCACCACACCTGGCTTAAGGTAGTTCTCAGTTTTAATTTGGTTTTACAAGCAAGCTTTCTACATAGCAGAAAAAAATCTCATTGCTGGCTCCTAAATCAAGTTTCTAGTACATATCAGATTAGGTCATCAGACTGTCCAGTACAGACAGCAATTCAGCAGTGACCCTACACCCAGCTGGACAGTTTTTAGTTTAGAAGCATTGGGCAAGCAACTATTGCTGGAAACCAAGAATTCTCTTTAAGATTGAAAAGATAAAGTCTGTACAGTTAAATTTCACATGGAAATGACCATATAAACTCATGGGGGGGGGTAGAGAGATGTCTCAGCAGCTAAGAGCACTTGCTGCTCTTGAAGAAATCCCAGGTTCAATTCCCCGAACCCACATGGCAGCTAACAACCACTCATATCTCCAGTTCCAGGGGATCCAACATCTTCCTCTGACCTCTGCAGGCACTGCACAACACAGGTGCATTTACACACATGCAGGTAATTAACACTCACACACATAAAATAAAAATAATAAATATTTAAAAATGAAAATTTTTTTAAAATACTTAAATCTAAGACCTGAAACCATGAAACGACATGTTACAAGAAGACATAGAGGAGACATTTCAGGATGTTAAATGGGCAAGGACTTTTCAGAAAATACCTCAAAAGTCACAAAACAAAAGCAAAAATATATAAATGGGATTACATCAAAATAAAAAGCTTCTGCATAACAAAGGAAACACTCAGCAGAGTACAGAGAGAACCCACAGAATAGGAGAAAAATCTTTGCAGGCTCTACATTTTAGAAGGGGTTGATAGGCAGAACATATAAGAACTCAAAGAATTGAATCTAATTTTTTTAGTTTTTTTGATACAGGGTCTCCCTGTAGCCACAGCTGGCCTAGAATTTACTATGTAGACTTACATACATGCAGGGGCACTTACATACATACACATAAAATAAAAATAATAAATTAAACTCATAAGGGTTTTTGTTTAATAGACATCCTAATTTTAATCACTGAGGTCAAAAACAGTGACAAAACAGTAGCAAGATACAATTCCAATGCCTAGATTTGGGTAGTTAAGTGTCATTTCCCAGTAAAAGGAACTTGGATAAAAGGCTGACTCCAGGTTCTGGACAGGAAATGTGAAAGATGGGTTTAAGACATCTTGTCTCACCAGAGGGCAGGAAGGTGTCAAAGACTAATGGGGTTGATAAGTGCTGCACTTGGCCTTAGAGAAGCCTCTTTATGTAGTGGGCAGAGGTTAATGTTGAGACTCATAACTGGTCAAAGTAATGAGAAGTGACTGTTAAGTACTCAGCCCTAAATGAGATGTTTCTAGCATCCCCTTCCAAGGCGCAGGGAGCTCCAAGGAATGACTGCAAGAGCTTAAGGATACAGAGGAATGCTATGAAACGCTGTCTTCTGGACACACGCGATGACAGCTGCACTCATGAACTCACAGCAGCTGTGGGTCCCTGCACAAGACCTGCACAGGCTGGAGCCCATCACCATTCCATCATGGGGAAGGGAGGGGATCATGAGGCCAGCCCCTCCCTGAGGAGCTAATGGCTGCTGGGGGAGGGGGTGACATTTTCTTCAGTAGTATAGCTACTGATAGGTTGCCCATGCTCCAGTAAATAACCTCCCACCCATACTCACATAACTCACTGGGTCACAAAAAAAGCCATGAATTAGGAGGTGGGCTTGTTAGGAAGAAGAGGTTCAGAGAGGGTGGGAGGGCAAATAAGGGAGGGGAATGGGGGTGAATATGAACAAAACACATTATATACATATATGAAAGTATCAAAGGACAAATAAAGAGAGGGCATTAAAAATCTTATTGCAATCTTAGTGACTGGATTATGATAATTAATAGGAAGAAATTACTTTCCTTTCATTATTACCTCAAATCCACTTCCATAATTAACTAGGAAAATAGTGCAATGGTATATTGTTATAAATAAAAATGATCAGAAATTGAAAAAACAAAAAGCCCAATGGGGGTAGATTGAAATGACATAAGAGCCCCCACTGGACAAAGATGGCCCTTCCTCAACACTAAGAGCAAGGACTACAATTGATTGAAAGCTACATACTGTCCCAAATCCATGGAAATCAGACACCTTTTTGGGGGGGTCTTTTTGAGACAGGGTCTCCCTGTAGCCCCAGCTGGCCTAGAAGGCACTATGTAGATGAGGCTGCCTCTGCCTCCTGAGTGCTGAGATTAAAGGCATGCACCATCACACGCGGCTCAGACACCTTTCTTAGAAAGTGAGAACACTACATCACTAGCTAATGAACCAACTCTTGGTATACATTTTTCCTTTTCACACCTAACAGCACTAATAGATCAGGGAAAGCTCTCCTTTACAGAACTCCAGTTAGTAAATGGAGGAGAAATGACAGTATCTGAGGGTTGCTTTATTTGTCCCAATGAAAATAATTACAACAATGATCAGCTTTGCACATTTAAAATAATGGTTCACATAGCTAGGTGTAGTGGCACATGCCTTTAATGCCAACATTCAGGAAGCAGAGGTAGGCAGAGCTCTATGAATTCAAGGCCAGCCTGGTCTATATAGTAAGTTCCAGGCCAGCTGAGGCTACAGGAAGACCCTGTCTAAAAACAAAAACAAAACAAAACAAAACAAAAAACTGAAGGGAGGGCTGGCAACATGACTTTTGGGGCAAAGTCTCCCACTGCCAAAGTCTGATGAACTGAGTTCAATCACCCAAGACCCAAAAGTTGGAAGGAGAAGACTGACTCCCACAAATTGTCATCTAACCTCCACAAACATGATGTGGCATGTGCATGCCCACACACATACAGTGATGGGCAACTAGCTAATCACCGGATAAAAAAGAAAACCCTGTAACAGCTGTAGATCACAAGAGAAAAAAACTGAACTTCACAATGGAAACATCAGGCTATCAGGAGTTGAATACACATATCATTTTTTTTAAAGACAGGGTCCCAGTATGTAGCCCTGGCTGGTCTTGAATTCTCAGAGATCCAACTGCCTCTGCCTTCCCAATGCTGGGATTAAAGGTATGTGCCACCACACCCAGCCATACATATTCATCTTAATAGCATCACAAGTGGGGCAACCTAAACCTGAACTCATCTAATGTGATACAGTATGAAGGAACAGTAAAACTCTGATGTTGTGTTGTCACCAGCTTGGGTACAGTGGGCACAGAGAACCAGATAAAAAGAAAGAAGACATTATGAGGAAGCAATAAAGCAAGCCCAGAAAGTGGGACATTGTTTGAAACAGCTGACCCGGCCTTTCAACAAGTTGAATCAATGATATGAATCAGTAAGCGCAATGGGGACAACTATGCTGTATTAGAACACATTTTAAGAGAGTGTGGATATTCTAAGTAGATCACAGTCTATTAAACTATATACTTTCAAGTCATCCACTTTAAAACTGTATACTTTCAGTGAGTGAATCATGTGGTTTATGAACTGCATCTCAATAAAGTTAACAAAATACCAGATTTAAGAGACAAAAAAAAAATCAAACATAAGGCCTGGTGTGGTGGCACACACCTTTAATCCCAGCACTCAGGAGGCAGAGGCAAGAGGATCTCTGTGAGTTCAAGGCCAGCCTGGTCTACATAGTGCCTTCCAGGCCAGCTGGGGCTACAGGGAGACCCTGTCTCAAAAAGACCAAAAAAAAAAAGAAAATCAAACATAATATGTACACTGAATTCAGATCCTAATTTGATCAAATCCTTAAAAAGAGATTGGAGAAACTAAATATAAACAGAAATATTAGAATATATTAAAGATTACTATCATATTTGTTATGCATGACAATGGTAATATAGGTTTTAATTTTTGGTTTTTTTTTCCAGTGCTGGGCATCAAACTCAAGGCCTTGTGCATGCTAATCAAACACTCTACTGCAGCTGTACATCCCTACTCTGATGAAAGAGTTCTTTAAGAAAATCTCCACAATTTTAGTATCACAATACTTGTTTTTCAAGATATACTTCAGGCCTGATATGGTAACACACACCTGTAAACCCAACACTGGGGAGACTGAGGCAAGAAGGTTGCAAGTTTGAGGCCAACCTGCCCCACATAGTGAGTTCGATGTAACAATACTTTGCCTCCAAACTACAAAACAGAATTAGACATGGTTGGACATGCCTATAATACCAGGACTTCAGAGGTGGAGGCAAGAGGATCAGGAATTCAAGGTCAACTTTGGCTACAGAGTTCGAGGCTAGCCTTGGCTACAGTAGACCCTCTTTTTAAAAAAACAATAATATTATAGATGTTTAGCAAACAAAACAACATGGTACTGGCATTAAAGCAGACATACAGACCCGAGGAACAGAGTAGAGAGATTAGAAGTGCATGCACATAGCTACACATGTGCAAAGGACAGTCTTCAACAAATAGTGCTAGCAAAATTGGATATCGACATGTAGAAGGAAACTAGGCTGGTATCTCTCACTGTTCACAAAAATCAACTCAAAATGAATTAAAGACTTAAATCTAGGACCTGAAACTATAAAACTGTTACAAGAAGACATAAAGGAAACACTTCAGGATGTTGAATGGGGAAGGACTTTTTGGAAAATACCTCAAAAGACAAAAAACAAAAGCAAAAATATACAAATGGGATTACATCCAAATAAAACACTCCTGCATAACAAAAAACATTCAGGAGAGTACAGACAGAACCCACAGAACAGGAGAAAAATCTTTGCAGGCTCTACATTTTAGAAGGGGTTGATAGGCAGAACATATAAGGAACTCAAAGAATTTAAGTAATCTGATTTTTTTGGTCTTTTTGAGACAGGGTCTCCTTGTAGCACAGCTGGCCTAAAATTTGCTATGTAGACCAGGGCTGGCCTTGATCTCACAGAGATCCAACAGCCTCTATCTCTCCAGAGCTTAAAGGCATGTACCAGCATACCCAGCTGTAATCTGATTTTAAAATGGGCAAGTGATCTGAATAATTATTTATCAAAAGAAATACAAATGGCTAACAAATAAATGAAAAAAGTATCTGTCTTAGTTTATTTTTTATTGCTGTGATAAAACACTGACCAAAAACAACTTGTGGAGAAAAGGGCTTATTTATCTTACAGGTTATAGTTCATCAAGGGAAGCCAGGGCAGGAACATGGAGGTAGGAACTGATGCAGAGATGACAGAGGAACACTGCTTACTGGCTTGTCCCTTGGCTTGTTCAGCTTCATTTCTTAAACAGCCCAGGTCCACCTACCCAGGAATGGCACTACCTACAGCGGGCTGGGCCCTCCTACATCAACCAGCAATCAAGAAAATGCCCAACAAACATGGCCACAAGTCAATCTGATGGAAGTAATTCCTCAATTGAGGCTCTTTCTTCCCAGGTGATTCTGGTTTGTTTCAAATTGACAAGAACTAACCAGCACAGTATTTAATACTGTTAGCTATCAGGGAATCAGCAAGTCAAAACTAAAATGAGATACCATCGAGTGGCTATTATAAAGAAAAAATAGAGTTTGAACATGGTGACATGTGCCTTTGATCCCAGCACTTAGGAGGCAGGAGCAGACAGATCTCTGTGAGCTTGAGGTCAGCCTTGTCCATATAGTAACTTCCATGCCAGCCAGAGCTACATATAAGACCCTGTCTCAAAAAAGGGAGGGAGGGAGGAAGGGAGGAAGGGAGGAAAGGGGTGGGTGTGTAACTCAGTGGTGTAATGTTTACCTAGCATGCATCAGACTCTGGATTCGATCCTCAGCACCACAAAAAATTAAAACCACTAATACTGGCAAGGATAAGGAGAAAAAGAAAGTCTAGCTACTCTTGGGAGGAATGTAAATTAGTACAGCCATCATGGAGAACATTTTTTGAGAAATAGATGAGCCATATGGCCCAGTTATCCTCTTCTGTACATCTCCAAAGGAAATGAGCAGAGCAGGGATGCCTGCACACCCACATTATTCACAGTAGCAAGACACAGCACCAGCGGGGGTGTCCATCAACCAGTGAATGGGAAAGCAAATGGACAACCCACATACAATGGGGTATGATTCAGTCATTGCATTAAGAATGAAATGTGGGGGGCTGGAGAGATAGCTCAGCGGCTAAGAGCACTGGTTGTTCTTGCAGAGGACCCAGGTTCGATTCCCAACACCTACATGGCTGCTAACAACCATTTCTAACTCCAGTTCCAGGGATCTGATGCCCTCTTCTGAGCTCCTTAGGTACTGCATTGACACAGGTCCAATTACATACATGCAGGCAATACACTCATACATATAAAACAAAAATAAAGGGTTTTTTTGTTTTAAAAAGAATGAAATGCTGTCATCTACAGCAACATGTATAGAACGGGAGTGCATTATGCTAAGTGTCTTCCATGGGAATGCACGACACACGTGCACTTATATACATGTAGGCAATGCACTCATACACATAAGAAAATTTTTTTAAAGATGCCTATTCTAAATTATTCTGAGGTAAAATGTCATATGTGCAAGATTTGTTTGAAAATATACATTTTCTTTAAAGAAAAAATACGACTTTGGCAAATGTTACAATTAAATCTGTTAAATTCAGGTAATGGGCACCTGGAAGTTCATTTTCTCTCCAGTTTTATGCATCTTTGAAATTCTTCAAAATAAAGAATTACAGGCTGGAGAGATGGCTCAGCGGTTAAAAGCACTGGCTGCTCTTGTAGAGGACCCCAATTCGATTCCCAGCATCCATATGGTAGCTAACAACCGTCCTTAAGTCCAGTTCCAGGGGAATTTGAAGCCCTCTTCTGACCTCCACAGGAATTGCATGACATGGGTACACTTACATGCAGGCAATACACTCATACACATAAAATAAAAATAATAAATATTTTAAAAATAAAATAAACTCAAAGTGTGCAGTGGAATATTTTAAAAATAAAAAATAAATAATTATGAAAAATCAGCAATTACCCTTTATTTTCAGAATCCCGAGCCACCATTACAAATGTTGCATCCAAAACAGGGCAAAATTCATCACCGTGTAACTGAAGAACAAATGAAAGAAAATACAGATGTGAGAAATACACTTTCTAGAAAGCCCTACCGCAATTCTGACAGCATGCAGGCATAGTTTGACAAAGTCTGAAAATGGAAAAGGAAGTGCCTTCGTTACCCACCTGCTGAGGGCCGACCCTGAGCCAGGACAGCACCAGACTGAGAATGACAGGTTGACTAAGGAGCCTGTATAGTCCAGTGGAGGAAAGGGGTGGCCCAACATCCTAAACCCTGCTTTGTATGAGAAGTGCTTTGGAGCTGTGAGAGACTATGACCCAAGGGCAGAGGTCAGAGTGATCTTCTGCATCATCAGCTCTGAACTTAAGTGTTGTGCACAGAATCTGGGCTTCCTTCAAGGCCTACTTTCCTCCTGTGAGCACATGCACCAGGTGGACCCTCTCCCCCATGGCATTCAGACACCCATACTTTCAGAGAACTGTAGTAGCATGCCAGCCACCAGCACATGTCTGTCTCCTTAGCTGAGCACAGCAGCTCCCAAGAGGCAAAATCAATGATGATTCTGTGGATTAAGTTGAATATTTACAACACACATGCTTTTGAGGGGGTGTTTTTTATTTTGTTTTGTGAGACAGGGTCTCCCTGTAGCCCCAGCTGACCTGGAACTCACTATATAGACCAGGCTAGCCTTGATCTCACAGAAATCCACTGGCATTTGCCTCCTGAGTACTGGGAATAAAGGGGTACACCACCACACCTGGCTTGCTTTTGAGGTTTTGAGGTGTTTCCTTACCCTCTATGCGTTTCTAACTTTCCAGAAAGCCTTTTCTAAAAAATGTCTTATTTATTTATTTATTTATTTATTTATTTATTTATTTATTTAATTTATGTGCATGAGTGTTGTTTTGCCTGCATGTTTGTAAGAGCATCATGTATGTAAGTTTGTCTTATGAAAAGTAGTGACAGGCTTTGTAAGGAAATGCCATAATGGTATCTCATACCCTATATGCTATTTCAAAAAGCAGGGTTTTTTTTTTTTTGGTCTTTTTGAGACAGGGTCTCCCTGTAGCCCCAGCTGTCCTGGAACTCACTATGTAGACCAGGCTGGCCTTGAACTCACAGAGATCCACCTGCCTCTGCCTCCTGAGTGCTGGGATTAAAGGCATGTGCCACCATGCCTGGCTCAAAAATCAATTCTTTAAGTAGTGACAAAAATGGCACACACCTTTAATCCCAACACTTGGGAGGCAGAGGCAGGGAAATCTCTGTGAGATCGAGGACACCCTGGTCTACATATCAAGTTTCAGGCCAGCTGGGGCTATGGGGGGGACACTGTCTCAAAAATAATAAAATAAAAACTCAAATAAAAAGTAAATAAATAAATAAAAATAAAAGTAGTGGCAGAAGCTATTTATAACCTAATGGTGTACTGGGTTCCCTGCCTATTCAGTCTCTTACTTCCCCCACACCAGTTGTAGGAATAGTCTCACCCACCTCAATTTTCTGCCCTGGCCAAACCTTACAATAGTGCCTCCTTTCTTCTAGCTCCTGGGTTAATCCTGTTTGCATGGTACAGAAAGCCTTTTTCTATAGCCCAGGATTCTGCTTGGACTGTTCATGAACACTACCCACTAGCCTACACTAGCCATTTGAAGCACCAAGAAGAGCTGGGGTGCAGCTGGCTGTGGATGGACTCCTAGCATGCCTTTGCCTGATGCCTTCTGGTGGATGTCATGCTTCAGGATGCCTCACACCTCCCCTGTCCCCAGCCCTATTTCCCAGGCCAACTTCATCAGACAGAAAAGTCCTCCCTTGACAGTTGATCTCAATGAAAAGGGAGGTAGGCAGGTGTTAAGGAATTGGGAGAGAAGGCAGATTCCCTAAGAGTTCACTTAAAACTTCGAACTCCAGCCTGGTCTACAAAGCGAGTTCCAGGCCAGCCAGGGCTACATAGTGAGACTTTGTCTCAAAAAGAGGCTGAAGAGACAGCTGAACAGTTAGGAACACCAGCTGCTCTTACAAAGACCTGAATTCAGTCCCCATCACCTGCATGGAGGCTAACTGTCCTTAACTCCAGTTCTGGAGGATCTCATGCCCTCTTCTGACCTCTGTGGGCATTGCATGCCATGCACTTAAATACATGCAGGCAAAACACACATAAAATAGAAATAAATAAAAATTTAAAAACTCACCAAAACCCCCAAAATCATTCAAACATATAATGTTTCACCATGAAGACCTCAAAGTATTTGTCACTGCTTAGTTACAAATGAGCCAAAAGGGTAGCCTGAGGCTCTAAATTGGCTACCAGCTTAAGGTAAACAGATGATAGTGAATGCAATTAGCTGTGCCCTCTAGACTGAACACTAACAAAAGCTCATCGGTAAACTCAGTCATAAATTCCGTGATCTATCTCCCATCTCAAACCCCCATCCTGAATTTGGGGCACACAGAACAGCCTTTGACCACAGAGTTAGAACTGACAGTAATGGTTGCACTTAATAGTTCCTTGCCCAAGGAGGTAATGCCAGTTTTGGCATCCAAAGCTCACATCACCCTGGGTAGAACACAATTTTCATGTCCCCTCAATAAAAGCCTCAGCAGACACACTCAGTGTGCCTGATTCTTCATTCTGTCCCCAGTTTGCCCAACTTGCCTTCTTGCAAGGGCACTATTCTTTTTCCTTGAGCTCTGGTTTCATTGCTTCCTTAACCTTTCCTCTGACCTCCTTTGATTCTTTGTATGGGAATGTGCTCTAGGGGACATCTCAACCATCTCATCCAAGGAAAGACGGGACTTCTCTGGTAACGTATCTGGTATTCATGTTCTCTCTCTCTCTCTCTCTCTCTCTCTCTCTCTCTCTCTCTCACTCTTGCTCTCGCTCTCTCTCCCCACTTCCTCCCCCTCAATCCCCTATCCCTGTAGAGCAACACACACACAAACCCATCCCTTATGACCACCTCAGTAGTATTGATAACTTTACTTCCAACAAGGGTTATTGTATGACAATTACCATACTGGGGGAGGGGGTGTCTTCATTTCCACTTCAGTACAACCATAACATGGTGCTATGACCATTTTATGTCACTAACACTTGAGAAAAGAGGCTCAGAGAATTATTTGTCCACAGTCACACATCTAACATCAGAACCCAGGTCTACTCAAACCAGAGGCAGAAGGCTCACTTTCTGCCACCTCTCTGGCATAGAAATGATTGGTCAAGTTATGAGTTATTATTCAAATGGCCAACAAGGAAAGCAAATTTAAAACATTTTGGGGTTGGGCATATAGCTCTGTTGATACAGTGCTTGCACAAAGCCCTGGGCTCAATCCCCAGGATGGCATACACCAGACAGGGTGGGACACACCTGTAATCTCAAGCACTCAGGCAGTACAAGCAGGAGGATCAGAAGTTCAAAGTCTGGGCTGGAAACATAGCTCAGCAGTTAAGAGCATATACAGCTCTTACAGAGGAGCTGAGTTCAGTTTCCAGCACCCATATCAGGCGGCTTACAATCACCAGTAACTCCAGCTCCAGGGGATTGGACATTCTCTCCTGGTCGCTGCAGGCACTGCATTTTTCTGCACAAACCCACACTCAGACACATACATATATATTTAATTTGAAATTTTTTAACTTAAGAAAATGTTTGAAAAAAAAGTTCAAGGCCATTCTCAGCTACATATCAAGTTTGAGGCCAACCTGGGATACATGAGACCCTGTCTCAAAAAAAAAAATAAAACTCTGTCTTTGTCTGACATTGAATTTTCATTGGCTCTCTTAGTAATTACTGTACCTTTTTTTTCCCTAACCTATTTATACAAGATTCAAGTTGTCCAGATTTCCTGGAAGAACAGCCCTGTGCTGGATAGCTTTAGTGTCAACTTGACACACCTGGGTTAAGGGAGCCTCAATTGGGGAATTTCATCTATTGGACTGGCCTGTGGCCATGTCTGAGGGTCGTCTTCTTGATGAGTGATGTGGAAGGGCCCAGCCCACTGTGGGTGGTGCCACCCCTGGGCAGGTGGGCCTGTGTTGCATAAGAAAGCAGGCTGAGAAGGAGCCAGGGGAGCAAGCCAGTAAGCAGCATTCCTCCATGGACTGTGCTCCATCTCCTGACTTCAGGTTCCTGCCCTGAGTTCCTGCCTTGGGCTCCTGGATGAACTGTGACCTGGGATATGTAAGCTAAATAAACCCTTTCCTCCCCAAGTTGGTATTGGTCAGAGTATTTTGTCACAGCAATGAAGAACAAACTAGGACAGGCCCTAAACTGGGAATCTACTGTGTATGCCAGTGAACAGAGATAACAGAGTGGTAACAGCTGGATCGTGTGGTAGATCTAGCTCTAGGTTTTTAAGGAAACTTCACACTGATTTCCACAGTGCTGCAACATTCCAGTGGATAAGTGTTCCTCCTTCCTCATAACCTCACCCACATTTGTCATCATTTGTTTTTTGGATCTTAGCCACTCTGATTGGAATAAGATGCAATCTCAAAGTAGTTTCAATTTGCATTTCTCTGATGGCTTAAAGATGTTGACTATTTTTTTAAATTTCTCCTAAAAAGAAGCACTAATAGCTCCCCCTACTGGGTCCCCATTCTAGCCTTGAACCAGGCCCGCTCCTGCTCTTCTGCCTCAAATCTCAGGACTAGCTTCCTAACCCTGACTAGCTTAATCCTCTTAGTTTGTCAGACCCACCACAGGCTGTCCCTACTCCCACCTCTCAATGGGAGGAAACTCATGGGTGGCACTGTAAATATAACCAAATATGAATGGCTGGAGAGATCATAGATCCTAGAGAAAACCCTATCTCTGACATATCTCAAATGAAATTTCTTACTATATGCTAAATATGAATCCTTATATTACCGACAAGTATACCACATACCACTCATCAAAGAAGCTTCTTTTGCAACAGATGGAGGCTATTACAGAGTTCCACAACTTGTCACACACAGAGAATATATGTGTAAGAGATGCCCAGCCCTAAGTGACACATCTACAGTGGAACCTCTACACCTAAGGCTCATAAAACATAGCAGAACAGGGGTAGAGAGAACACTACTGCATCCCTCAACTCTCACCAGTAAAGATTTCTTATACAACAGAGTTGGATCCACACAGAAGGCCACAACTGGCAAAGTTTTAGAGAATAAGAGACTACAGAGTGTGTGCCCCTGCATAGGACTCCTATATTTAACCTCACCCACCCATGGCTCAGAAACCATTGTGGAAGAGGGGGTGGAAAGATTGTAAGGGCCAGGATTGGTGCGTGAACATAAGGAAACAGAAGCTTTCAGGTCACTGGGAACTTGCTCATATAAACTTGCAACATGCAAGTGACATGTGATAGCATGCACAAGACCCATGCCAACTCACTTAGACAAAAACTCAGCATAGAACAAGGGAAACGGGCAGCAGGTCCCAACCCTAACTGAGGAGCTATTGGCAACTGATTACTGCTGGGTGAGGGAGAGTAGATTTTCTTTAAGGAGTGACTCTAGATAGGCTGACTAGACTCCACTGGATGAACTTGCTCTGAGGACATCTGGGTACAAATGCTTGACTGGATAGGACTTACCATATATGATAGAATGCATGAAATCTGGTGGGGGGATGTAGGGGGTGCAGATGGGGAAGGGGGTCTAAATTTGATTACGATCTCTTATATGAAATGCACAAAAACTCAACAAAGGGGCTGGAGAGATCATTCAGTGGTTAAGAACACTGGCTGCTCTTGCAGAAGACTCAGATTCAATTCCCAGCACCCATATGGAGGCTAATAACCATCGGTAACTCCAGTTTCAGGGGATCTGAAGCCCTCTTCTGACCTCCACAGGCACTGCACAACATGGGTGCACTTACACATATGTTGGCAATACACTCATACACATAAAATAGAAATAATAAATTTTTTTTAACTCAATAAAAATTTTTTTGTCTTTTTGAGACAGGGTCTCTCTGTAGCCCCAGCTGGCTTGGAACTTACTATGTACACCAGGCTGGCGTTGAACTCACAGAAATCCACCTGCCTCTGCCTCCCAAGCACTGGGATTAAAGGCATGCGCCACCATGCCCAGCTTCAATAAAAAATATTTTTAAAAAGAAAGAAATTAACCAAGAAATTGAAGTGGCTACAAATAATAGAAGTATCCTCATCAACTTTATTAATGCTTGTTTGTAAAACAACATTACTTGTGTTTCTTGGGGCTTCATTATGTGTCCCTGGCTAGTCTGGAACTCAAAGATATTAGGCTGCCTTTGCCTCCCCAATGCTAGGATGAAAGATATATGCACCCTGCCTGGCTAAATTGGTATTATTTTTTTAAAAAATAGACAATAAAACGCCAGGCGTGGTGGCATACATCTTTAATCCTAGCACTCGAGAGGCATAAGCAGGCAGATCTTTGTGAGACCAAGACCAACCTGGTCTACACAGCAACTTCCAAGTCAGCTATGGCAATAGGGAGATCCTGTCTCAAAAAGACCAAAGGGGGGGGGAGACAAAAACAGTGTTAGTGTCAGTTACATAAATGTGGAAGCTGAAGTATTCAGTCACTTTGATATACTATTTGAATTAAAAACAATTACCAGCAGTTAATGCATAGACTCATAACTGGCCAAAGTGCTGAGAATAAGTGACTGTTGAGTATGCAGCCTTATACAGGACATCTATTTCACCCTCCCTAAGGCTCACGGAACACCCCAGAAGAGGGCACAAAAACAGTGTAAGAATCAGAGGATGGGAAGAAGTGTTGTAAAATGCTGTCTTCTGTTCAAAGTCTGGGCATTGCACTCAGGAAGTCACAGCAGTTGTGGTTACCTGCACAAGACCTGCCTAAGACTGGGTCACTCAACATTCCATCATGGGTTGGGGAGGGACACATGAGTCCCCATTGCTCCCTGAGGGACAATTCAGTTATAGGCAGCTGGGGAAGAGGGTGTCATTTTCTTTAATAGGATAGCCACTGTGTAGTTTTACTCATCTTTCAGCAAATAACCCCCAACCCGTGCTCATGTGAAAAGCCCTAATTAAACTCAGTGGGTCACAGAAAAAGTCACAGAAGTATGAGGGGTCCTAGCTGGAAATAAGGGGTTCAGTGAGACTGAAAGGGAAATAAGACAGAGTACTGCACGTATGAAATTATCAAAAAATAAATTTCTTAAATTCTAAAAAAAAAATTACACTATTTTGAAGACAGAGTCTCATTGTATACCCCTGTCTGGCTGGTCTAGAAGTCTCTATGTAGACCACGCTGGCCTGGAGAGATTCACCTGCCTCTGCCTCTGAGTGCTGGGATTAAAGGTACATGTCACCACAGCTGGTTAAATTTATCTATTTTAGTTATTTTTACTTTATGTGTATGAGTGTCTTGCCTGCATGAATGTAAGTGCAGTCATGTCATGCAAAGCTCGCAGAGGTCAGAAGAAGGAATCAAATCCCCTGGAACTGGAGTTACAGAGCCACCATCTGTGCTGGAAAACAAACCTGGGTCCTCTGCAAGAGCAGCTATGCTCTTAAATGCTGAGCCACTACTCCAGCCCCAAATTCATCTATTCTGACAAATAACTTTACTGCATAATAAGCTTGAGACTTTGCTGGTTCCAAAGTTGTTTTCCACCAAAAGAAGAAATACTTCAAAATTCTGTAGCAGAAAAAAAATGCATCAGAATAATAGGTCCATTGAATATCATGACATAATGAGATAAATCACTCCTAAGTTTTCCACAGTGAAATATTGGGCACACTCTGAATTGCTTGGTCTCTGCACTACTATCCTCTTTGAGGTATTTTTCCTTGACAAAATTCTTCCTTTGCTATTCTGAGTTCTACTTATTAGAGGAGCTGTTCTAATTGCCACCCAAACGACTATTAAAAATTGACACTGGGAATATAGCTCAGTGGTAGAACACATGCAAGGCCCTGAGTTTGATCCCCAGTACCATAAAACAAAAGAACTGACTTGTGTTGCTCCTCCCCCAAAGATATGTTTCTACAAAAGATACATTACAAGTGGGAATTCATTTGGAAATAGGAATGTTGCAGGCACAGTTAGTTAAAATGAAAGCGAAGTATGGTAGTTCACACTTGTAATCCCAGCTACAGAATGAGACCTTGTCTCAAAAAAAAAAAAAATGAAGCAAGGCTTTGTGGCACATGACTAAGATCTCAGCCCTTGGGAGGCAGAGGCAGGAAGATCAGGAGTTTGGGGCCAGCCTTGGCTACAGAAGATGACCTTGTCTCAGAAAATCAAAAACACAGGAAATAAACAAAAGCCTCCAGCTGTGCTGATGGCAGAGCCACCACCAGCTGCTCCTCCACTGGGGACTCATATATTCTTGAGGGCCAGTTCGAGGTCAGCCTGGGCTACATGAAACCCTATCTCAAAAAAAAAAAGCAAAACAAAAACAGATGAGGTCACATGAGAGCACAGTGGCCTTTAATTCAATACAATTAGCATTCTAATAAAAGACACAGAGACAAAGACACATGAGAGAAAGCTACACGATGACAAAGGCAGAAAAGCACCAGAAGCCAAGAAGAGGCAAGGGAAGAGGTTCTCCTGCATGTTTTGGAGGGAGTATGGCCCTGCTGACAGCTTGTTTGGGAATCAAAGCCTCCAAACTGAAACAATAAATTTCTGTGGGTTTGTAAGCCATCAGTTTGTAGTACTCTGTGGGACAGCAGCCCTGGGAAAATAATGCAGTGATCAATCCATTCACATCTAACATAACTCAGACTTGTGTGGAATCCTCCTGGGCAAAATCCAAAACAAGTACCTTAGTGTGCAGTGGCATATGATCACAGAGTAATAAATATTAAATGTAAATATCAAATAATGTGTTTAGTCTTTGTGCAAAAGGAAGGTGTTAACCCACCACCTCTATGACACGAACTGTCAGTTGTTTAGAAGTTGTGGGTTACGCGCCTGTCCATGAACAGACAGCTTTTCTTCCACTGAGACTAGCTGCTTGTATCTGAACAGTGGGTAATCTTCAGGTACACACATACCTGGTACATTTTCATCTTCACTTCCATGGATGTCATCCCAACCCAGCTAACATGGCCAGTGAGCTTAATATCCTGCTCTGGGCTTAAGCTCCGTTTACACATATCTGCAAAACAGAAAGTCAAGGTACACCAAACCATATCAAAACATCTCTGTACTCTAAGTAGATAATGTCATTTGAAAAGCTGACAAACTCTACTGGATTTCTTATCTTCAACACTAAAATAATTGCTGCTGGCATACAAAAGAAATTTGTATGTCATGAAAACTGAAGACCATGCAAAGAATATAAAAATTGGAATCATGCAAAATGCTTCCACCCAATTATCTAAATATCATGGTATACTGTGTTCTAAGTATTTTAATATATACATTAAAATTCTCCATAAAAGAAAACATTTCCCTCCAATCCCAATAATATTTTATAATTATTAAAAATTCTAAGTATGGGTCTTTAATCCCAGCATTGAGGAGGCAAAGGAAAGCTGATTTTTGTGAGACCAAGGTCAGCCTCATCTACATAGAGTTCCAGGCTAGCTAGAGCTATAGGGAGACCCTGCCACAAAAAAATTCTAGCCAGGCATGGTGGTGCACACCTTTAATCCCAGCACTCGGGAGGCAGAGGCAGGCAGATCTCTGTGAGTTCAAGGCCAGCCTGGTCTACATAGTGAGTTCCAGGACAGCTGGGGCTACAGGGAGACCCTGTCTCAAAAAGACCCAAAAAATTTCTAAATATGCATAGAAGCTGATATTGCTTACCAATCTTGTCCACCAGGGCTGTAACTATTGATAAAGGAGACATCTTGACAGAAGGATTTCTGGTGTGCATATAGCAAACAAGAACTGTAGGGAAACAGGAGATTATAAAATAACAGAAAAGCAAAATGATATCTTAACATTTACAATTTTTTCCCTGAAGTTCATAGAGTATTATTACTTTGAAGAAAAACTCCTAATATTTAAGTAATGTTCTTATTCTAAAACTTATTTATTCTAAAACCTTTTTCTTTTGGTTTATTGAGAGAGGGTCTCATTCTGGAGCCCAGGCTGGCATGGAACTAAAGAACTAACTCACTCACTCACCTACTCACTCACTAGATAGATAGATATATAGATATAGATAGAGAGAAAGATAGACAGACAGACAGATAAAGAGAGAGATAGAGACAGAATCAATCTCCCAGGAAGGTTTTAAACTTGCAATCCTCCCTGCCTCAGTATCTGAAGTGCTAGGATTACAGGCCACTCTACCACTCCTGGCATCAAAGATTTTTATAAACTGAAGAGATCTGGAGATCCTCTAATCTGACCATTCCAATTTTAGATTAAGTGAGGAGACCAAATCCCAAAGCCCTGACCCACCAAGCAGCCTGTCACCATGCTGTGGAAAGACGGTGCTGAATCAGAGTAAGAAGTTGGGACAAGTCTGCTAGTATCAAGCAAACACCTCCAGAGAAAAGGAACAAATAGCAAGGACATGGCTACCTGTTTTCTTCCTGACTCTTTACTAATCATGAAGCTATTATTTTACTCAGTTATCCCTCTTTCTGAACAACACCCCAGCCTGCATACTGTGCTGCAGTCCTTGTAACAAGGCAATCATGTATGCCAAGTGTGGCTCTATGTACCTTACGAATATCAACCCATTTAAATTCGTAATGCAATTATGCATTGATTCATGTTCCTGCTTCCCCTACCATGATCTAGTCAAACATGTCTCACCCACACTCACAAGGTCTATGGTCAATAAACACTTGCTGAATGACAGATAATACTTCCAATCATGTACCTGTTGCACTGGAGCAAGAGGAGCTAAAGGTAAAAAATCTCCATTTAAAAAACTTTCCGGTTCCCAGAATTCATGTGAGTCTGACCTGTGGTAATAGTATAGGAAGGAAGAGAAAAAGATCCAAGAGCTAAGAAGAAGAAAGATCTGACAAGAGTTGAATAAACCCGAGTTTCTAGCTTAGATAAATGAAAAAATACATGAAGAACAAGATGAGCCATTTCCACTGCGTTGATTTTTTTTTTAAGCAGAACGGGGAACTGAACCCAAGACCCAGCACGTGCTTAACTAGCACTCTACCACTGAGCCATAACCCCCAGCCCAATATGGTGAATTTGAGAAACCTAATAGCAATCCAAATGAAGACAACCAGTAGACGGGAGGACAAACTGATTGAAAGTCCAAGAAGCAGGCCAGGAAACATAGCTTCATAAGCACTCAGCACACTGACAGTAACTAAAGTGTGGAGAGTTGATGAGATTATTTATACAGAATGCGAAAAGTTAATCCCCAAAAGGGCGGAAGACAGAACCCTGGGGACAGCCAGCATGTAATGGATCGACAGAGAAAGAGGAACCTAAAGAAGACTGGAAAAGAGTAGCCAAAGAGTCAAGAGAAAATGTCACCAGAAGCCAACAATGAGTGGGACAATATCCAAAGTCACAAAAGGGGTCAAGCAGGCGTGTTCAAGAGCACTTGCAATAGCACAGAAGAGAAACACCAGAACACTGGCAGCCTGACAAGTAGCACGTCAGGATAAAAGGCAATGAAAGCAAATGACTTTTCTAATTCTCTCCAGAAAGTTATCACTGAAGGAAGAAAGAGAGTCTGAGCATGTTATAAGGGAAGAGGTTTTGCCTACTTTTCACTTTAAGATGGAGAACCTTAATGTTTATTATGACATGAGGGAAAAGTTAAGTTGGGAAATGGCTTCAGCTATGAACAGAAGGCATAAGTCCTTGAAGAAAAAAGGAAAAGAATTAAGAGAACCGGTGAAAAGGACTGGCTACCAGCAGGAAGCAATGAGAGAGAAAACAAGGGTAAGACCAGGGAGATGGATCACCTGGTAAAGGCACTTGCCACAAGTCTGATGGCCTGAGTTTGATCCCTGGAATCCACATGGTAGAAGGAGAGAACCAACTCCTAAAAGATGTCCTCTGACTACCCAGTCATGCACACGCACACACAAAAATAAATAAACGTAAAAACTTAAAAAGAGAAAGCAAGGGCAATGTCAAAGGAATTTGTGCAGATAAGGACAGCTACATAAACCAAAGTAAGTTATACAGATATAAATGTACGTGTGATCTTAACCGCTGAGCCATCTCTCCAGACCCCCAAGTTATTATTTTTAAAATCCTAGCTACTTCATAACAATCTGAGAATAAGGAGAAGCCAGTTGTGTTTCCTGGACCCTTTGCCTCACATTGGTGTGCTTGGGTCCACCTTGGGCATCAGGGAAGCCAAGTGTAGGGGTTTGGGGCCCCAAGGCCTGCTTTGGCTTCTCATGGGTTGTAGTGCTGCACAGGACCTGCTTGGAGATGGATTGTGCTGCTCTTACAAAAAAAGATGGGAAAAAGATATTCAAACCATGAATCACCACTTAAAGGTATCTGGCTTATCATAACATATATTTTCAAGAAAGGCCAGTTTATCCATTCAGTTAATTTATTGAGCATCTCTTCGCCTTGACTTTTTTAAGGAACTCAAAAAACAGTAATGAATAAAAAAAATTCTTTACCAAAAAATAAAATAAAATAATAAATGAGTGTGTGATTTTTAAAGGCCATTAAGAATGCTTACCTAATCTAGAGGCAAAGGCAGCTAGGTAAGGGCCTAATAGTGGGCTTATGTTCAGGCTTGAAGTGATATTAGGGTCTCTCTTCAAACCCTTTCCCAACAGTTCAGACTAAAAGACATTAAATAAGAGGAAGAAAGAGAGCCTGGAGCAAGGTGTTATAGACCTAGCAGAGGACAGAGGCTGTCTGCTGGGACATTGGACTGGCACTGGGTCTGGAGTCCAAGTAGAATGAAGAGGAAATTTGTGCAGGAAGTGACAATAGCAATGGTACCATGCTGCAGCTTAAGCACAATGAAAAGCGGGATCACATAGAGGAGACCTGGTATGAAGTATCAGAGGCAAGGGACTTGGACATGAGGCATTAGGGATTACAAGCTGGTTACATGAAAGGAGCTAGTCAAGTCAGTAAATACATTAAGGATACTGGAGTTAACTGGAAAAGGGAATTATAAATAATGGAAATGGGGGGCTGGAGAAATGGCTCAGTGGTTTAAAGCACTGGATGTTCTTACAGAGGACCCAGGTTCAGTTCCCAGCACCCACATAGCAGCTAACAATCATCCGTAACTCCAGTTCCAGGGGATCTGATGTCCTCTTCTGACCTCCACGGACATTGTATGGCAAGGGTGCACTTACACACATAAAGGCAATGCACTCATTCACATATAATAAAAAGAAATAAAAAATTAAATCACAAGACAAGGGAACTATGGAGATGGCTCAGTCTATAAAGTGTCTGCTACACAATCATGGGGACCTGATTTTGATCCTCAGCACCCACATAAAAAGACAGGCATGCCAGCATACATCTGTAATCCCACGTCTGGGAAGACAGAGACAGCCAACAGCCCACTCTTTTGTGCCAATTACTTTTCTGTTGCTGTGATAGAAACACTGTTAGATTTAGGAGAGCATTTAAAGTTAAGAAATAAGAATGAGAGCCAGACCTGCAACAGGCAAGGAATATGTTCTTTTATTCAGGAGAACATGGCAAAGGGCTTCTTCTGTCCACAGAAAACAGGCATCAGCAAAGAAAACCAGAGCAATCAGGACTTATGTAGGAACTCTGTTGAATGTAGCTGCAGGAATTTGCTCAGTGCCAGTGTCCTTGGGGTAATTGAGAATCTTCTTCCTAAGATGATTTTCTCAGGAAGAGCAGGCAAGTTATCTTAGGGCAGTAAAGGAGACGGGTTGGCTCTGTAAACAGTCTCTGTGATCCCAGGAAGTGACCAGTTGATAAAGCTTGAGCAAAGGCCAAGTCATCAATTTGGACCATTTGGCCACCTTGAGGAATTTATGTCTTTATGGCTTCCATTAAGGAAGCTTACGGCTCTCCTTCAATTTACACATTCTATCAAACACCATGACCAAGGGAACTATAAAAGGAACCATTATTTAGCTTATGATTTCAAAAGGGCAAGAATTCATCATGGTGAGACGGCATGGCAGCAGAGGTGTCTGGAGTAAGAGCAGAAGGTAAGCGCTCACATCTTCAAGCAGGCACAGTAAGCAGGAGAGTGATAGGAGATCTGGTAAGGCTTAAGAACTGTGTAAGCCCACCCCCAGTGACATGCTTCCTTCAGCATGACCACACCTTCTAACACCTCCAAAACAGCACCAACAACTGGGGACAGAATATTCAAATACTTGGAGCCTATGGGCTAGAAAAGCAGTTGATTGCTGTGAGCAGAGAGAGCTTAACACCCATTCTAATAGGCACCTGAAAGAAAGTAGTACTGAGAACAATGTAGTTCCAGAGGGAAATAAGGACTTAAGCAGCAATTGGGATATTTTGGCCAAGAGTCTGGCTGGAGTCTGCCCACAGCCAAAAACTTCCCTGAGGCTAAGTTGAAAAGCAATGGACTAATTTCTTTGGCAGAGGATATTTCAAGACAGCCTAAGGTAGAAATGGTGGCATGGCTATTAACAGTAATATTATGCAGATCTACAGTGAAAGAGAGCAAATGGAGCAGAAAGAAATATAGAATGTACAGTTTGGCATGAAAAAGAACACTAGAAAGATTAGCGTTGAAGCCAAGGCATGTGCTGAAGGAGAAAATCCCTTTGATAAAGAAGACTAAAATGATTAAGGAGAGGCCTAGAAATTGGCACTTAAACAATGGAAAGAGTGCCTCCAGGACAAGACCACACCCAGCTAAGCCTCCAACTTGCGAAAGGAAAATTCTGGAGTTTTCTACTCCTAGAAAACCACAGCATAGAAGAGTTTCAAAAGTGGATGAATCAAGTCAGGATCCATCCCAAACTTGCAGCCAAACTTGGTGCTGGCTTTAGAAGCACCTACCTACATGCAAGCAATACATTCATACACATTAATCTCCCAAGTGCTCAGATTAAAGGCATCTATGATGGTGCCTAACTGAAAATGTCCTTCTTTATAGGGGTCATCAGTTCTTCCTCCACAGTTTCAGAGAGCTGCAGAGGCCAGGAAGTATGTGGCAGGGGCATCCCTGCATAAAGAAGCCAGAGCTGAGAGACATCTGCCAAGAGCTGCAAACAGGGAATGGTACCAGCCCAAAAGAGAGATGTATGTTTCATAGAGCAAAGCTGAAGAGGCTATCTTAAGCCCTTTGGAAGCAAAATCCCAGAAGTAGACATGGATCTGCTGTATTTGGTGTTTGCCCTGCTTGTTTTCGATCTTGTTTTGGTCCATTATTTCCTATCCATGTCTCTATTCCTTCCTTTTGGAATGGGAATGTATATTCAGCTCCACTACATGTTAGGAGTATGTAATTTGTCCTTTGATTTTACAGAGGCTTACAGTTAAGAGATTGCCCTGAGTCTCAGAAGAGACTTTGGACTGTTGACCTTAGAATAGTATTAAGAACGGTAAAGACTATGGAGAAGCTGGACTAAATGCATTTTGCATTTTATATGGTCATGAGCCTATGGGGGCCAGAGAGTACAATGTGGTGGTTTGAATGAGAATGTCCCCCAGGCTCCAAGTATTTGAACATTTTGTCCCCAGTTGGTGGTGCTGTTTTGGAGGTCTTAGAAGGTGTGGTCATGCTGAAGGACATCACTGGGGGTGGGCTTACAGAGTTCTTAAGCCTTGCTGGATCTCCAGTCACTCACTGCTTCCTGTGCCTGCTTGAAGATGTGAGCACTTAGCTTCTGCTCCTACTCCAATCACCTCTGCCACCATGCCTCCCCACCATGATGGACTCTTGCCCCCCTGGAACTGTAAACTAAATAAACTCTTCCTTTTAGAGTTCCCTTGGTCGCGGTGTTTCTATCACAGCAAAAGAAAAGTATCTAATAGAACTGGAATACAGTAAGAACAGAACATCCTTTCTGTGATGTTCCTGCCAATGCTAATGATGAGAAAGCACCAGATAAGCCCAAAGAGAGGGACAATCCAGATGAAAAGTAGCCTGTGACCTTCAAAAGTGTCAAGGTTATGAAAATCAAGGTAAGATTGAAGACCTGTTCCTGACACAACTAAACGTAACCTGTGCTTCAAAACTGCATCTCTCTGTGGTGAATGACCACTGGTGGAACTGAACAGGGTCTGAGGTACATAGAGTTAATTCCCTCATCTTGATGGTTGTATTATGGTTACGTAAAAGAATGTCCTTTTTGTTTCATGGAGACAGGCTCTCACATGTTTTGCTAGCCTCACTATGTAGACTAGGCTGGCCTCAAACTCACAGAGATCTACCTGCCTCTGCCTCCCAAGTGCTGAGATTAAAGGCATCTGCGATGGTACCTAATTGAAAATGTCTTTCTTTATAGGAAGCATACACTAAAATATTTGGAATTCTGCAACTTTTTCTCCCACAATTCAGGAGGAAATAATTCTTTATATGGTACTTGTAACTTTAAGATTCTCTTTAGGGGCTGGAGAGATGGCTTAGCAGTTAACAGCACTGGCTGCTCTTGCAGAGGACCCAGGTTCGATTCCCAGCACCCACATAGCAGCTAACACTGTCCATAACTCCAGTTCCATGAGATCTGACACCTTCTTCTGTCCTCCACAGGTACTGCATGACATTTACATACATGCAGACAATACAATAATACATATAAAATAAAAATGATAAAAATGAAAAAAAATCTATTTAATGTTTTGGGCAACCCAATGAGTTTAATTAGGGGTGCTTACATGAGCATAGGTGAGGGGATTTTTACAAGAGCATGGACAATTTGCAAGTGGCTATACCACTGAAGAAAATATCTGCCTCCCCAGCAACCATTGACTGCCTGACTAGCAACAGTTAACTGCCTACAATGTCTCAGGGAGGGGTGGGGCCTCAAGAGTACCTCCCACCTCCATGACAGAAAGCTGAAGGGCCCAATGTTACACAGCTCTTGTGCAGGTAATAATAACTGCTAAAAATGTAAGAGTACAATGGCCATTCTCTGACATTCCAGATAGAACTATGTCTGCAGTAAATGCTTTGTATGCTTGAGGCCCTGGGTTCAATCCCCAGCTTCCAAAGTAAAAAAAAAAAAAAAATGGGGGGGTGTCTTTTTGAGACAGGGTCTCTCTGTAGCCCCAGCCTGGAATGCACTTTGTAGACCAGACTGGCCTCAAACTCAAGAGATCTGCCTGCCTCTGCCTCCCAAGTTCTGGGACTAAAGGCATGCACCACCACACCCGTCTCCAAAATAAAATTTAAAAATAAAAATTATTAGGCTCATTCAGATTATAACTCCATTAAATAGAAATCTGTATTTATAAGGGAAACATGACAGTTCAAAGGCAGTAGAAGCCTTTCCTTTATTGTCCTTTTAGAATATTCTTGGGGACTGGAGAGATGGCTCAGCGGTTAAGAGCACTGGCTGCTCTTGCAGAGGATCCGGGCTCAATTCTCAGCACCCACATGATGTCTAACAACTATCCATAACTCCAGTTACAGGGTATCCCATGCCCTCTTCTGATCTCCCCAGGTACTGCACGACACAGGTGCACCTACCTACATGCAAGCAATACATTCATACACATTAAATAAAAATAATGAATAAAATAAAAATAGAATATTCTCATCTCTGCAGGTTAAAGACAAAAATGGCCCTGTCTAGTCATAGGATAGGATTCAATGTCTACCTATAATTGTTATTAAAAATACTAATACCAGTACCTCCTAAGCTGTCAAGATCTTCAAGAATCCTGCCAAATCTGTGAAATAAAGCAAAATGTGAATTAAATGAAAATCATAATGATCTCCCTTTAAAATTTCATAATGTACTTTGGGGTCATGAAAGTGCTCTCAAGTTGACTGTGGTGATACTTACGCAACTCTTTTCATATACTAAAAACCACAGGACCATACACTTTAAATAGATGAACTATATGGTACATGAACCATATCCCACAAGAGTTATTTTAAAAGGAAATAAAATTAAAACAAATAAATGACAACAATGAAAATAGCAATGTTACCTTACTGTGTTTTGAACAGTCAAATATTTCTCTCTTAATTCAGGCTCGCTACCCAAAGGCAAGAGAACTTCAATGTAACTGTCCTTCATTTTCCTAGGTGGTAGGGCTTTCTGTGACATAGCCAAAAAACTATGAAGCAACTTTCTTTCCTCCATTGCTTTCACATGGTCTCTGAGAAGAAAAAGTAAAACTTCAGCAAACAAGAGTAGTTGCTAGCCCACAATTCTAGTAACCCCCTTCCAGGCCAGTCAGACATGGTCAAAGGAAGAAAGAAGGGGTCTATGCCCACCTTGTCTTCCCTCCTCCCCAACCACCACTTGGAAAACTAAACATTTCTGGTGACATTTTTTTAGGCTTGTAGATAAGTCTCATGCTCTACCAACTGTGATAGCTGGACACTACTGGGCTTATACACAGGAAACACATAGTTAGAAGTGATATAGATACATCTAAATGGATTACACATTCAACTGATGAAAAGGTTTACTCACTCTACCACCATGGCTTAATGGTACAACACCTGCCTAGCTTATGCAAGGCCCTGGATTCAATACACAGCATAAGAGGGGAGAAAGACAGTGAAAATTCTCAGATCCTCTGTGCCCCTGTGTTCACCTTCATTTATATCCTCTCTCTCTCTCTCTCTCTCTCTCTCTCTCTCTCTCTCTTTCCCTTCCCTCCCTCCCTCTCCCCTGTCAATTTCAGAAAAGAGAGACAGATGAGAATAAATGAACTATATCCAAAGCAAGCACATAAAACAGAATAAAAGGTAAAAGGGAAGAGAACATTTAAAAAAGAAAGGGGCCAGGTGCAGTGGTGCATGCCTTTAATCCCAGCACTCGGGAGGCAGAGGCAGGCAGATCTCTGTGAGATCAAGGTCATCCTGGTCTATGTAGCAAGTTCCAAGCCAAATGGGGATACAGGAAGACCTTGCCTGAAAAAAAAAAAGGCAGCTGGAGAGATGTCTCAGAGGACCCAGGTTTGGTTCTCAGCACCCACGTGGCGGCTACGAACCGTCCTTAACTCCAGTTCCAGGGGAAATCGAAACCCTCTTCTGACCTCCACGGCATTGCATGACACGGGTGCACTCACATACATGCAGGCAATACACTCATACACATAAAATAAAAATAATAAATATTTTTTTAAAAAACCACAACTATAGAGGTCGGGTGTGGTGGCATATGCCTTTAATCCCAGCACTCCCAGCCTGGTCTCCAGTTCCAGGGGATCCAACGCCCTCTTCTAACCTTTGCAGGCATTGCACAACACCAGTGTACTTACATATATGCAGGCAATACAGTCATACACATAAAATAATAATAATAAATAAAATATATTTTTTTAAAAGGCAGAAGGGGAAGAAAAGAGAAGACTAAAGTAGAAGAGAATAGAGAAACAGAGGACAGGAAACTAAAATATTGCAGCACCACTGACTAAGGTGTCCTTCTAAACTTCAATGATAAAGTATTTGTGCCAAAAATATTCAGCCTACAGAAATACTGAAGACAAGTTAAATGATAAAGATAAATAAAAAATGTGTAATACTCTCAGGACAGATGGTTTAGCCTTATGAAAGTCAAATTCATGGGGAAAAATTGAAGGTGAAAACTGTCATTTATACTAGATTAGGAGAAGGTAAAGAGTCAAAAAACCCAGATGCAACTTGCAAACTTTTACCGGATCTTGGGAGGCAGAGGCAGGTGGATCTTTGTGATCCACCTTGGGAGGCACTTGAGAGGCAGAGGCAGGTGGATCTTTTTGAGTTCGAGGCCAGCCTGGTCTACATAGTGAGTTCCAGGACAGCTGGGGCTACAGGGAGACCCTGTCTCAAAAAGACCAAAAAATAAATTTTGTATAAAAAAACACAACTGGGGCTGGAGAGATGGCTCAGCGGTTAAGAGCACTGACTGCTCTTGCAGAGGACCCGGGTTCAATTCCCAGCATCCACATGGCGGCTACGAACTGTCCTTAACTCCAGTTCCAGGGGAAACTGAAGCCCTCTTCTGACCTCTACAGCATTGCAGGACATGGGTGCACTCACATACATGCAGGCAATACGCTCATACACATAAAATAAAAGTGATAAATAAAATATTTTTTAAAAAAAACACAACTATAGAGGTCAGGTGTGGTGGCATATGCGTTTAATCCCAGCACTCAGCAGCAGAGGCAAGTGGATCTCTGTGAGTTCCAGGCCAACCAGGGCTACACAGTGAGATCTTATCTTAAAAACAATAGCAGCAACAGCAGCAAAAAAACTGGGAACAATTAAGAAAATGTAAATTCAGTCAAGTAGTATACTGTCAACTTCATTACATAAAGAAAATATCTTTGTTGGAAATACATGAAGACTTATTATATGAGGATATATTTATTTATTGAGGATGCATACTGAAATATAATGTAGATAATTTAGTTAAAATGGTCCAGCAAATATACATATTTTGCCAAAATGTTAACAAGTATTGAATCCGCATTGCGGGTACATATTCATTCTTTCTACTTCAGTAAATTGAAATATAAAGGGTGTAAAAGTATAAGTCATCAAATAGTTTCTATGTCATCACATGTCATTTACTGACCAATATCTACTGATTACTTGCAATTTGGGTGGGGGTTTTTTTTGTCTCGTTTTTTGAAACAGAGTCTCCCAGTAGCCCCAGCTGTCCTGGAACTCACTAGGTAGACCAGGCTGACCTTAAATTCACCGAGATTTGCCTGCCTCTGCCTCCTAAGTGCTGGAATTAAAAGGGTGAGCCACCATGCCCAGCCTACTTGCAATTTGTATTTTAATCTTTTTAGACTAAAATTTCTGTGTACTAAGAAGGATAGTATTCTATTTCATATGAGGGGTATGTTAAGCAAAAGATAAAAATAATATGGGAAAGTTGGTTAAGAGTGAACTGACAAGACTAATAAAAGATGGCTAGGGAGATGGCTCAGTGGGTAAAGGCACTTGCTGCTGAGCCTGATTACCTGAGTTCAATCCTGAGGTCCCACATAGTGGAAGGAGAGAACTGAGTGCAAGTTGTGTTCTGACCTCTACACATGTGTCCTGGCATGCATATACATAAATAAATACATATGTACACTAAATAAATAAATGTAATAAAATTTTAACAAAAGAATAATGGAGTAAAATTGCATGAACTAGAAAAACCAGGAAACTTTTGAGTTTCAGTTTCATTATGTACAGAAAAGGAATAAAAAACTATGCCAGGGGCTGGAGAGATGGCTCAGTGGTTAAGAACACTGGTTGTTCTTGCAGAAGAGCTGGGTTTGAATCCCAGCACCCACATGGCAGCTAACAAGTGTCCATAACTCCAGTCCCAGGGTATCCGACAGCCTCTTCTGACCTCTGTGGCCATTGCATGACATGGATACACTTACCTACATGCAGGCAATACACACATACGCATAAAAAAACTATGCTATAAGCATATCACAAGTTTTGTTATGAGAATCACCAAAGTAATATACTAAATGGGCCTTGGACAATGCATAATATACATAAGTCACATTCTTTTATGACAATGATGCACCAACTTATTAGTGTGTTGAATGTTGTTCTTTTCCCCCTACCAGGAAAACTGCATCTCCAAACAGGGCTCCCCATCTGTACAAGGGGACCAGCAACTGAGCCCAACTATGGCCTAGCACAATCCCTTGGGGATAAAACACAAAAGTACATACCTCAGGGCTGGAGAGATGGTCCAAAAGAGACCACTGGCCACTCTTGCAGGGGACCCAGAGTCAGTTCCCAGCACCCACATGGCAGCTAACAACTGCCTGTAACTCCAGTTCCAGGGGATCTGACACCATCTTCTGCCCTCCATGGGAACTGCACACACGGGTGCACTTATATACATACAGACAAAATTCTCATACACATAAAAATTAAAAAATAAAAAAGTGCATACCTCCAGTTTGTGGATGCTCCTACTATCTCCCGCAACTTTTCCCGGACTGAAACAAAAATAAAGCTATCATTCCATGAAACAAACAGAGATATGAAAACTGTGTTATATTAATGAGCTCAAGAACTAAGGAAAGCGGCTCATGCACTAAAAATATCTTGACTCATCAATTTCCATTTAGTGCCATGACAAACAGCTCAAGAAAGGGATCAGGTCTCTACTCTCTAAAAATCTGAAACAACTACACTGTCTCCTTAATGCAAATAAAAATACCTTTTTGCCAATAATTGAGGTTTATTTAAATAACCAGAAAGAAAATTGTCAAATATTCATCCAATGGGGTCTTATCAACATCAGGAACTGAGTCTTTTAGATACAAACATTTTGTGTGTGTGCCCATGTATGTGGAGGCCAGAGAACAACCTTGGGAGTCATTGCTCAGGTGTTGTCCACCTTGTTGTTGTTTTTTTGTTTTGTTGAGTTTCTTACTGGCCTGGAGCTCACCAAGTATGCTAGGCTGGATGGCCAATGAGCCCCAGAGATCCACCAAACTGCCTCCCCAGTGCTGGGATTACAAGCGCACACTACCACATTCGGCTTTTTTACCGTGGGTTCTGGGGGATCAAACTGAGGTTCTCATGCTTGCATGGCAAGCACTTTACCAAGTGAGCCATCTCCCCAGCCCTAGGACAAAGAGATTATAAACAGGACCCCCACCTGTCTTCTTATAGGCAGTATTAAATTAAATTACTTAGTTTAGGAATTAACATTAATATGCAAATCTGAGTTTTATTATAATTGATTTCATACATATTTATACTATCCTAAAATCATCTGAGCAGTTTAAGCCAGAAAAATAAAGCAAATACTTGAATAAAAGTAAGGCAGAGAATATGATTTAATTTTAGTTAATGCCCAATATGCAAGCGTGAATTAGCTTAAAATGTAAGAGCTGAACAAAAAAATTGATACTAATTACCACACACCATGATTCACATGTATAGATGAACATGCTATATGGAAAAAGGAAAATCAATTAGACAACCAGCAATAATTCCAAATCAGAAAATAAATATTAATGGTAATATTTCAAATAATATGTTTTTGCTAGCATTTCAAAATATATATTCCAGTCATGGGAAATTAAATGTCGCTATTCTAACTAAATGATCAAAACCAAACAGTTAGAGTAACAAGCACTTTCATGAACATGGTTGATTTTCTATAAGACAATTGCATACATATCAGAAATCTTGTGCACACACTAATTTCAGTTAAATAATAAAGAACTGCAACAGATAACCATTAGTAAATGAGTCTTATTACCAAATTTTCCTCTTGAGTTCCTTGAATATAAGAATATACACAAAATATCCCCAACAGTATACCGACTACCAATGCCCTCTGACCTAAAATGCTTCTCACTAGTTTAATCAGTGTCCAGAGAGGTAGGAACTGAGGGCCAAGAGGAAAAGTGGAATTTTCTATTTTATTTACATACATATGTGTATATGTATACACATACCTATTTGGACACTTTAAGGAAGTCACAATTTTAATTATGAGTGTTCCTAAACTGACAAAGGCAACCCATAGTTTGCATAGCAAACGAGCAAGTGAAGCTAACTGCAATTAAGCACAGATTAACAGGGTCCTAAGGACTACAGGTTTTAGTTGGTAAAAATGCAAGGTTCATTCCTTACTCATGCATTAGACCTCTGTTCCATGCCTCTTCCATGCCTTCAATAGCTAGTCACAGGAAGTAGAAACAACTAAAAGAACTCAGTTCCCAAGGCTCCCAGAAACAACTCAGACTCTGAATGTGATTTGTACCCCAGGCTATCGCGGAACTATCCTCATAATTTTATAAATGAGATGTTGAGGACAACAGCTGCATTCAACATATATGTCTCATGAGCCCTAAACTATCATTCTGTGTACCACCCAAGTAAAGAGTTGTTTTTTACCACATAGGCATACATGCTAAAAACAGCCATGCTTGCCTTCATGCATTTGTAAGACTCCTTGTTTCTTGGAGCCCTGGGATCCTTGAGCCAGTCCTCTGCCAGGATTGAACAGTCCCTTGCTCACAGTACAAAACCTGTAAAAGAAGGGAAAGCATATTTAAAGTAGTTCTCAGAGATTCTTCCGTGGCAACCTGTAAGACCTACACCCCCCACAGAGTATCTGGCCACACTCCATCCTTAGTATGTACTATCTCAAAGGCGTTTGCAGTTGTTTCACAAGTATATGTATATCTGCATATAAGAGTATGTATAAATCATCTCCATCACTCCATTTCTTCATTTTTTATTCACTTATTTTGTGTGTGTGTGTGTGTGTGTGTGTGTGTGGTGACTGTACACACATAGAGATCAGAGGACAACTTTCAGGAGCCAGTTCTCTCCTTCCACCTTGTTTTTGAGACAGGGTCACTCTTATTTCTGCCACGCTGCAAATTCCAGAGTAGCTGATCTACAACTCCTTGTAATTCTCCTATCTATGTCTCCCATCTCACCATAAGAACTCAGGGATTAAAGAGGTGGCCAGATTTTTTTTTTACATTGGTTCAGGGGATGAAACTCAGGTTGTCATACTTGCGCATCATGCATTTTTACTCACTGAGCCATTTTGATGTTTTAAGGCATCTTTCTATAGCCCAGGCTGGCCTTTTTAATAATAGCTAAAGACAATTCTCCTGCCTCAGCCAGCACAGTGCTGGGATTAAAAAGATGTACTTCTGGGCTGGAGAGATGGCTCAGCAGTTAAGAGCACTGGCTGCTCTTGTAGAGGACCTGGGGTCCATTCCCAGCACCCACATGGCAGCTAGCAACCCTCTTTAACTCCAGTTCCAGGGGATCAGACACCCTCTTCTGACCTCCATTGGCACTGCATGACATAGGTGCACTTACATACATGCAGGTAAAACACTCATAAAAATAACGAATTATTTTTTTTTAAAAGATGTGCCTCTATGTCTGGCTTAACTATTACTTTTTCGTGTGTGTATACATCTGTGTGTGGTGCTGGGGACTGAACCCAATGATGTGTGCAAGCTAAGCCACCACTACACCACTGAGCCACATCTTCAACCTTCCAATCCGAACTCCACAACTACTTTTCTTTTTCTTTCTTTCTTTTCTTTTTTTTTGAGACAGGGTCTCCCTGTAGCCCCAGCTGGCCTGGAACTCTATGTAGACCATGTTGGCAATCTGCCTGCCTCTGCCTCCCGAGTGTTGGGGACTAAAGGTGTGCACTACTACTCCTGGCCCACAGCTATTTTTCTTGATTTGAGTTTATTAGGAAAACATTCTAGACAGACTTAAATATGGGAATTAACAGAGAGGTGCTAAGGGAAAGGAGAAGACAGGCCCAAGTGTGGGCACAGGTTTCTCAAGAGTTTTTTTTTTTTCTTTTCTTTTTTTTTTGATACAGCGTCTCAAGTGGCCTTGCTATGTAACTGAACATGAATGACCTTGAGTTCTTGATCCTCCTGCCTCTACCTTCTGAGTGCTGGGAAAACAGGTGTACCCCACCACACCTGGCACACAGATGGGCAGTTGGCAGGGCTTTTGTTGTTTTTTGCAGTTCTAGGGTTGAATGCAGGGCTGTACACATGCTTAGCAAGTGTTCTATCAGAGCTACAGCCTCAGCCCAACTACTTCTTGAAATCAAAAGCAAAGTATGTAATTATCTGCAAAATAAACAAAAGATTTGCACCAGGTTTAATGGGTTTAATCTTGCTCTTTCCATTTTATTGGCTTCAGAAGCCCAGAACTAATCTGATAAACAAATGAACACATTAATTTATGAACGCTTACTTTTATCTTTACTATTATACCATTATTTCCTCAATAAATAAGACAAACCCATTATAAACTAATCATCTTTGAACTTTGAATTAGCCTGTGCAGACTCAAAGAAAGTACCTATTGGACTTAAGCAGAAATTTCCTAGATCCCAAATGGAATAAAATAAAAGCTGAGTGCCCAATGTGCCTGACATATCTTCTCAAAAGTAAGCTGGGTAAGTTGATTTTGGTGCGCTATTGCCAAGTGTTGGCTCTCAACCACATACTTTCATATCTGGGATAACATGCCTGTATCAGAAATTAACAAACTGATCTGTGAAAGCACAGTTGAAAAGCTAGTGAAGGGACCCAAAACCACATACCACCAACTCGTTGCAACTCAAGTTACTAGTAAATTCTTACTAACTAATGTGAGGATAATGACTAACCAAAAAAAAAAAACCTATATTTTTACCTTTCTTTATAGCCCAAGCTACTGAATTACAGCATTCGGTGTAAGTCTCTCAGTAAAACTATTTTGTAAGATCTTCCTAAATGTTTTCCCAGTTAATGTGCTAAGACAAATTACTGATCTTTCACAAAGACAATCCAGTTGCAAAGAACACATAATTACGCATACTTGCTCACTGGCAAAATTAACTCCTGAGCCATCCAGTCATTTCATTTGGCTGTAGTACAATGCCTATTGGTCCACTAAGACAAAAATGCTTGCTGGAGGGCTTTAGGCTTTATGATCTGCTTTCTTCTTCAATGACACGGCTATCAAGCCTCTGTTATCTCCACTTGGGCATTTTTCCACAATAACTTTTTCCTTTTCAAGATATATTTCATTTTAATCGTGTGTGTGTATTGTGTGTCTGTCCGTCTGTCTGTGTCTGTGTGGGGATGTACACATGGCGTAGGCGCCCTCGAACTGAAGTTACAGGCACTTGTGAGCCACCTGATATAGGTACTGGCAATCAAACTCAGGTCTTCTGAAAGAGCAGTATGTGCTCTTAACCACTGAGCCATCTCTCCAGCCCCTAAATTTTTTCTTTTCTGTACTTTTCTACATAGATTAATATTCTATTCTTGTGGATCTTAACCTTCTAATTTGAATTTTCTCAGAATGTGATTTGGATTTTCTATTTTTTGCCATTTTATGTAGGCTCAGATCTCTTACTGAAGGAAGTAAGTTATGTATTCCTCCATCCTGCATTCTCATAAACACATCTAGTTTAAAGCACACAATGGAAATGGGAGGTGAGACAGCTCATGGAAAAAGGTGCATGCCGCACAAGCCTGGCAACACAAGTTCAATCCTTGGGCTCCACATAAAGGTGGAAGGAGAGAACTGACTCCACAAAGTTTTCCTCTGACACAAACACACACACACACACACACACACACACACACACACTGTGGCACATATGTACATATATCATACACACACACTAATAAAATTTTTAAAACAAACACTAGAGAGACTGGGGAGATGGCTGAGTGGATAAGAACACTTGCTGTGTATGCAAGAGAATCTGAGTTTGGATTCCAGCAGTGACATAGAAAGTCAGGCAGTCTAGCCTAAATGATCAGCTCTAGTCTCAGTGAGAGATCCTGTCTCAATGAACAAGGCAGAGAGTGATACAGCAGGACACCTGACAACTTCTGGCCTCCACGTGCATACATGGACATACACACCTGCCACCCCCTCAACACACACACACACACACACACACACACACACACACACACACTCACACACAGGGCACACTGCAAAAAAAATGTGATTCCTTTCCATTGCTGCCATTAGGTGAAAGACAAAAAAAAATCATGCCTTCAGTACTTTAGCTAGCCATTAACTGTCATAGATGCAGTAAATGTGTCCACTATAAGAAATGAAATCTGGGGCTGGAGAGATGGTTCATCGGTTAAGAACACTGGCTGCTCTTACAGAGGACCCAGGTTTGATTCCCAGCACCTACATGGGGGCTAACAACCATTCATAACTCCAGTTCCAGGGGACTCCGACACCCTCTTCTGACCTCCACAGGCATTGCATGACACGGGTGCACTTACACACATGCAGGCAATACACTCATACACATAAAATAAAAATAAATAAAACTTTAAAAAAGAAATAAGATTTGCTTTGAATGACTAAATACTTAGATTTCTCCCCACAAACTAATGGGAAATATATAATCCATCTCACATATTCAGATAAACACACAGGAAGTTTTGTTGTGTTACTTTAAGAAGACCCATGTTTCTGAACACTGATAAAAAAAAATCCCATCCTGTCTGTGTAAGAAGTCATATAATAAAGAGGCTAAAAACCTAACCTTGCAGCTAATGAGTCAAATGACCTGGAGCAAGTTATGATCTTCCCTGAGTCTCAGCTTCCTCATCTGTAATTGGGGAAAATATTCCCTATCCCATAGGACTGTCACCTACTTAATCCCTATGACAGTCCTATGGGACAGGGACTATTATCTCCTTGGGCTCCTATATTTTAAATATTTTATTTATTACTTTTATTTTATGTGTATGTGTGTATTGCCTGCATGTAGGTAAGTGCACCCGTGTCTTGCAATGCCCGTGGAGGACAGAAGAGGCCGTCAGATCCCCTGGAACTGGAGTTACTGACAGCTGTTAGCTGCCACGTAGGTGCTGGGATTTGAACCTGGGTCTTCTGTAAGAACAGTGTTCTTAACTGCTGAGCCATCTCTCCAGGGCTCCTATATTTTAAAAATCAGATTAAAGTTGACATGAAGAAACTGATGCTTTAACTTCAGATAATTTTTCCTCAATATCAGTCAACTAGCACACTGGCAAAGTCCAGATGGACGTAGTTTTTCTGATTTTTCCCCCAAACACACACACACACACACACACACACACACACACACACACACACACTGCTCTTTTAACAATTTCAGAATTTCAGATTACTTCTCATATACAGTCATGGACCACATGATGTTTCAGTCAAAATGGACTGTATATTTTTCATTTATTCATTTATTTATTTATTTATTTATTTATTTATTTATTTATTGTTTTTTAATTTTATGTGTTTGAGTGCTTTGCCTGCATGTATGTGAATGTACTACATGCGTGCAATGCCCTGCAGAGGCCAGAAGAAGGCATTAGATTCCCTGAACTGGAGTTACAAACAGTTGTTAGCCACCATGTGGGTGCTGGGAATAGAACCCATGTCCTCTGGAAGACAAGCAAGTGTTCTTAACCACTGAGACATCTCTCCAGCTCCTCTATATTTTTCTTTCTGAGACAGGGTCTCCTTGTAGCCCCAGCTGGCCTGGAACTCACTATGTAGTCCAGAATAGCCTAAATCTGCCTGCCTCTGCCTCCAAAGTGCTGGGATTAAAGATGTGCACCACTACACCCAGCTAACTGTATATTTTAACTTGAAAAAAAGCTTATAGGATAAGGATATGAAAAAGAACTACTTTTTCACAGCTGCATAATATATTTGAATTTTAATTTTATTTATTTTTTTTATTTTATGTGTATGTGTATATTGCCTGCATGTAGGTAGGTGCACCCATGTTGTGTAATGCCTGCAGAGGTCAGAAGAGGCTGTTGGATCCCCTGGGACTGGAGTTACAGACAGTTGTTAGCTGCCAGTGGGTGCTGGGATTCAAACCCGGGTCTTCTGCAAGAACAGTCAGTGTTCTTAACCACTGAGCAATCTCTCCAGCCCCAATATATTTGTATTCTAAGCTAACTGACTTCCAGTCCTACAAGCTCTGCTAATGGTAAATAAGTACTACTTTTTATCTTCTATGCCTTATTTTTACTCTCTTTTATTATTTTATTTTATTTATTTAATGTGTATGAGTGTATTGCCTGCATGTGTGCAAGTATACCTGTGTCATGCAATGCCTTCAGAGGTCAGAAGAGGGCATCAGATCCTCTGGAACTGGAGTTATGGACGGTTGTTAGCCACCATGTGGGTGCTGGGAACCGAACCCAGGACCTCTGCAAGAGTAGCCAGTGCTCTTAACCGCTGAGCCATCTCTCTTCCTTTTGTGCTTTAGATATGACAGTAACTCACCACTGTGTTACGATTGCTATGCTTTTCAGTACAGTACCAGGTCTGTAGCCCAGGGACTGGGCTCTAAGATTTATCATTTGGCCTAGGTGTGTAGAAGGTTGTGCCATCTGGGTTTGTGTAAATATGCTCTATAATGTTCTCACATGTGATGAGAAAATCTCCTATCAGCCCTGTGCTCTGAACATAGCCCACTGTTAAGTGATGCATGACTCTAAAATGAAGCACTAAAGTGGAGGAGGTAGGAGAATGGTTTAATCAATACTCAGTCTTTCAGGACTTCGGGGTTACTGGGTTCCTTAACCCAGTAAGAGCACCATCACAAAGTTCCTAGGCTTTTAGAAGAAACTGCCATGGGTCCTTTGGGATACTCGGGCTCCAGAATGCCATGATCAGAACCTTTCTACTGAAAGAAGACCAAAAGCACAACCTCTCTGTGACTTGCCTAGGGAGTCACAGTCACCTGCAGTTGTGAATGGAAATGGCTTGGCTCTATCTTAGGTTCCAATTATACAGAAAATGCCCCCAAAAAACAAAAAACAGAAACAAAGAAACTTGTCAGTACAGTATCAGGAAGTGCCGGGCTGGGGGTATAGCACTTGCCTAGCTTGAGTGAGGCCCTGGGTTCATCCCCAGCACTGCAAAGCACCAGCAACAACGCCGAGACAATGTTATTCATATACCCACTGCTCTGAAGAAATCGCTCAATTTCAAGATTAAATCAAGAGGGGTCTTGGGGTGGGGAGTGCCATCTCAGGTTTATTCTCTCATAAATCTGCTTGGCTCTGTAGAGATCAGTTTCCCTTCATCTCCTCCCTGCTTTCCGTACCAAATAACCTGATCACCTCAGACAATCTGTATTCATATAGAAATTATTTCTCTGACTAGACCCTGACAGAATACCTACTTAAGGTTCAGTAGGACTCTCAAGAAAGGAACATGGGGCTATGGAGTGCAAAGGACTTCTAAACTGGGGGGAGGGGATTCTCTTGTAGGAGAAGACACCCAGGGAAGACCACAGAACTTATAGAAGCCTTTCCCACACTATATCTAATGCAAGCTAAAGTCAACCATGCTCTTCTTGTTAATGGCTTCCAACCTATTTTCAAATAATTTGATAAAGCTTAGGTGCTGGGGGCGGGGGGTCGACCCACCAGTTCAATTGATAGCAGGGTTCCTAAGAACAGTTAAGATAGATCAAGGACCCCAGGGGAGTCAGAGGGATCCATGGCAAGGGTAGCCTCACTAACTTCAGGAGCCAGACTTCAGGAGCCAGAATAGGTCAGTCCCCTGGAAATCAGGCAAACTGCAGAAACTTGCAAGCTGCTAGCTAAGGCATGTCCTAGAGTATAAAGACCTCAAGCTTAGTCCTTAACTGTAACTGGTCCAGTTTGGAAGATTACATCTACCAAATGGCATTCTCCTTGCCCAAGTGGTCCCAGCAGAACAACTGTTTTCCAACGGCCTCGCTGCTTATTTCCAGTGCTGTGCCAAATCGGAGGTGATGGTGCCTATCTGGAAATCCCAGCATTAGAGATGCTGAAGCAGGCGGATCACCGAGTTCGAGGTCAGCTGGGACTACTTAAGAAAGATTGTCTCTCTCAGATAAACACATCAACGAATGAATAATATGCCTGCAGTTCTGAGGGCCAAAAAGCACCTTGCAATCTTTACACTCGTGATAACACACTTAAGTCAGATTCCAAGGGTGTCACGCACTTAACCTCCAAAATGTTCTTCAAAGTTGAGCAAAGGGCTGGAGAGGCGAGGCACAAGTGCAAGTGCTGGCTTTCGGGACAAGGGACCGGGCTACCCCAAGGTTCCAACAGCACCCCTGATGAGCAAAAGGATAGGAATTTCAGGGGAACACCCAACGTCCTCCCATGAAGAAAAAAGAAAAGTGCCAGAAGTCGCGAAAGCAGTGCGCCTAGCCTCTGGCACAGACAAGCAGGCCTCAATTCAGGCGTAGTCCCAGGGTGTGGGTGCCTGTCCCTTCAAGGCTAAACATCCCGGACATTCGTCCCGCCCACGGCTTCTTCCGCCAGGCTGCCAGCAAGGGCGTGGACACCCCGATGGCGCCCCGCCGAGCCCCTCTCTCCGACCTACCGCAATGCTGCTCTCCTCATGGTGCCCCACGGCCTTGCCCACGCGTGGAGAACCAGGCCCCGTGCTCGTCGGCGGGGGCAAACAGGTGACAGAAGAGAGGGAGCACAAGCGCCGGCGAGCTCGCAGGGCCGAATCTCAGGCCCGCACCGTCTTGCCTGGGTTCCAAGGCCGCCTGGGAAGGGCGGGGCCTCACTGGCAGGAGGGCGGGGCCACGCTGCCCGAGGGGCGGGCTACCACGACAAGCAGGGCGGTCCCTGCCCGTTGATTGGCGGGCGGTTGGAGTCAGACTCAAAGGAACTTCTCACTCATCTGGGTGGGGCGCGTCGGTAAGACCAGGGAGGGCCTCTTCCCTCCATTGTTAAGAATCACTCCGCTAGGCCTGCAGTGATGTAGAGGTGAGGCGCGCCTCTGCCCTTTTTGAACTCTTTTTATCCTTGACCCTTGCGCCTTTACTCGCTGTCTGGGTGCTTGCCTGGGCTGACCTTCCGTGCATCATTTCCAAACTGCTGGTACCATGCTTGTACAGCTAGCACTAAAGAAACTGAAACGGGAGACTAGCCACCAATTCAAGGCCAGCCTCGACTGGCCAGTAAGTTCTCAGCCAGACCCTGTCTCAGGCAAAAAAATATTGTTCTTGTTTTTACTTGAATTTTTTGTCAAACAAATAGGAAGTTTAAGGAGTAAAATTAAGTTGAGAGTTTTTCAAGCCAGGCACAAGCCCCAGGATGCTGAGGCAGGAAGATCACAAATTCAAGGCCTGCCTGACTACAGAGTAAGTTCAAGGCCAGCCTGAGCAATTTAGCAAAAGCCAGTCTCAAAATGAAAAGTAAAAAAAGGTCTGGGGATAAAGTTAAGTGGTAGAGTGCTTGCCTAGCATCCCCAAGTCCCTGGGTTCAATCCCCAGTACCAAAAAAGAAATAAAAGTCAAAATGACAAAATTTTCCAGAATCAGACATGGTGGCATACTCCCAGACTAGTACGACTGTGACAAGGTCTTATTGACTTACCAGGAATTCCCCTTGCCCAGACTGAAGACCAGGTGCTGAGTCACAAGCTGTTAGCAAAGCTATTTCCCTATGTGACCGTTCATGTGAATATGAAGCATTTTCTTAGAAAAGAAGTACTGTGCAGTGAGCCCCACTGATGTCCACTGCAGATGCAATTTAAACAGGGAAATGTCTCATTACTTAGTCCACCTATTTTTTTTTGTTTAATTTTGTTTTGTTACTTTATTTTTTGGTCTTATTGAGACAGTCTCCCTGGAGCCCCAGCTGGCCTGGAACTCACTACATAGACCAGGCTCACCTCAGTCTCACAGAAATCCAATTACCTCTGCATCTCAAGTGCTGGGATTAAAGGCATATGCCACCATGTCTGACTAATTTTTTTGAGCATTTCATACATGAGTACTGTATATCATTTCCACCCTTCCCTCTCCCCTTCCAACTCCTCCAGTGTCCACCCACTACTTCCTCTCATGTTCATGACATCTTCTGTAATTATGTGCACACACACACACACACACACACACACCTACTGAGACCATTTAGTGCTGTTCTTATGCACATGTGTTTAGGGATGACCACATGGGATTGGAAAAACCTATTGGGGGGGCTCATACTTAAAGAAGACTGATTCTCCCTCTCTCAGTAGCCTTGGATAGCCTGTAGTTCTTCATCTAGGGGCTGGCCTACCTGTTTTAGTAATAACTTCAGGGAAACCCTATTAAACTCAGGAGCCTAGAATTCATCTATGTGTCTCTATCTCAATTGGCAGCATGTATAAAATTCCTTAAACAGGGGCTGGAGAGATGGCTTAGTGGTTAAGAGAACTCGCTGTTCTTGCAGAGGACCTGGATTCAGTTTCCACCACCCACATAGCAGTTCACAACCTTCTGTAGCTCCAGTTCCAGGGGATCCATCCAATACCTTCTTCTGGCCTCCACAGGCACCCAGCACACATATAGTATACATACATACATACACAAAATAAAAATAAATCGTTTTTAAAATTCTTTTTTATTTAATTTTATGCATATGAGTGTTTTGCCTGCATGTATGTAAGTGTACCATACAAATGCAATGCCCAGGGATGTCAGAAGAGGGCATCAGATCCTCTGGAACTGGAGTTACAGATAGTCGTTGGTATCATGTAGACCAGGAGCACCTCAAAGTCATAGAAATCCCCCTGTCTCTGCCTCCAGAGTGTTGGGATTAAAGGCATGTTTCACCACACCCAGGCAGCAACCCTGATTTCAGTATGTTGTTGTTTCTGTTATAAAGCATTTATGCTGTGTCACAAAACCAAGCAGGAAACAGGCAACACTTGTGTAATGGTGAAAAATCACTGTCCTTATGTAACAGATGGCCTTTTTTCTTACTTGTTGTGTCCCATTCATTCTATTTTTTATGTAGTTGCAGGGTAACAGTATCACATGTATAATGAAAAATTTTAAAACACCTAATCATGCACTAATAGATATATTATCAATGCCTTATTACAAATAAAACAATAGCCAGGCATGGTGGAGCATGCCTTTAATCCCAGCACTGGGGAGGCAGAGGCAGGTGGATCTCCATGAATTCAAGGCCAGCCTGGTCTCCATAGCGAATCCAGGCCAGCTGGGGCTACAGGGAGACCCTGTCTCAAAAACAAACAAAAAAGCAACAAATAAAACAATAAAATAACAAAACTTGACAATATAGTTTAATCATGTATTGAGTGAAAAATATGTAGTAATCATATTCCTTGAGCTGATGAACCATACAGATTTTGAATATCTTGTTTAAATAGAGAATTTTTCCTGGAAACAATGTCATCAACTTTCAAACTAATTTATTCTATGATTTTATAGGCTAGAGAAGCTATATTTTTAAAATTAGCTTATTTCCTAAATTATAACTAATACAGAAGAATCTAGAATAAGCCAGGTATGATGGCACCTGCCTGAAATTACAGCTGCTTGGAGACTGAGGCAAGAGAATCATAAGTTCAAGGCTATCCTGGACTCTGTAGTACGTTCAAAGCCAGTGTGGGCAACTTAGTGAAACTGTGTCTCAAAGTTTTTCAAGAAGGGCTGAGATGTTAGCTCAGAGGTACAGTGTTTGCCTAGCGTGTATAAGATCCTACATTTAATCCTTAATGCCAAATAGTGGATAAGGAATCCAAAATAAAGTTGGAAGACAGAACAGGAAACAACATAAATATATTTCCCTAAAACCGAAGGAAACAATGAACGTGTCTAAGCTGATACATGAAAGTACTTAGTTTGACACCCCCTTATTTTTATTTATTTTTTTATTATTTTATGTGTATGAGTGTATTGCCTGCATGTATGTAAATGTGCAATGCCCACGTCATGCAATGCCCACGGAGGTCAGAAGAGGGCATTGGATTCCCTGGAACTAGAGTTAGGGATGGTTGTTAGCTTCCATGTCGTTGCAGGGAATCGAACATGGGTCCTCTGCAAGAGCAGCTAGTGCTCTTAACCAATGAGCCAGTTTTCCAGTCCCAACACCCCCTTATTCTAACAGAAGCAAAACCCAGCCTACATATCAATCAGTTTCCATCACTATGACAAAACACCTGAGATAAACAACTTAAAAAGAAGACAAGAAAGATTTGCTCTGACTCATGGCTTCAGAGCTTTCAGTCTACAGCTGATTTGTCCCATTGTTTTGGTCCTGTGGTGAGACTAAACATCAAGAAAGGAAGTGTGTCATGGAGCAAAGGTGTTCATGATGGCAGTTGACAGGAGAAAGAGGGAGAGAAGAAGAATGAAGAGAAAGAAGAGGGAAGGAGGGGGAGGGGAGGGGAAGAGATGAGGGGAAGGGAGGAAGAGAGGGATAGAGGCCAGGGTCTCAATCTACCCTTCAAGTGCATGCTTCCAGTGACCAACCTAACATCCTCTAACTAGGGCCCAATCTCCTAAAACTTCTACATCTCCCAATAACATCAGCTAGGGACCAAATATTCAACACATGAGCTTTTGGATGACATACAAGATCCAAGATCCAAAGCAAAACACTAGACAATTTAGAAACACAGTGATTTTTCATCTTTATCATGCCCTAGCTCCACTTTTATGACAGGCCATCAAATCCAAACACAGAAAGGCTCTTGTCTGTAGAAAGGTTCTTTTTCCTCTAACAATTTCCTCTTCCTTAAAAATGACAAACATTGGCCAGATGTGGTGAGATTCCCAATTTTTCATGGTCAGCAGAAATTCTTGTCATTTTTTAGTTTAGCTATTTTAATGAATGTGTAATGTTTATGTCACTGAAGATTTAATTTGCACTTATCTAATGACCAGTGACACTGAACATATTTTCATGTACTTACTTGCTGTATATTCTTTTCAGTAAATTATATGTTCATGAAGCTGGAAGACAGCTCAGTGGTTAAGAGCACTGACTGCTCTTGCAGAGGACTTGGGTTCGATTCCCAGAACCATATGGCAGCTAACAGCCATCAGTAACTCCAATTCCAGGGGATCTGACCTCCACGGGCACTGCATGACAGGGGTGCACTTACATACATGCAGGCAATACACTCATGCACATAAAATAGAAATAATAAAATATTAAAAATATACCTTACTATTTTGTCTATTTTCCAACTCATTCTTTTAAACATTTTTTATTTAATTATTTTTATTTTGTGTGTCTAAGTGTTTTACCTGCATGTAAAACACTTGCAGTGCTCACCAAGGCCAAAAGAGGGTGTCCTATCCCCTGGTTCTGTAGTTAGGGACAGTTGTTAGCTGCCATGTGGGTACTGGGAACCGAACCTGAGTTCTCTGCAAGAGCTGCCAGTGCTCTTCTGAGCCATCTCTCCAGCACCCCAGCTGATTCTTTTTAAACTACTGACATTTGAATAATTTTTGCTGTGGTAATTTTTTATTTTTCTTTTCTTTTTCTTTTCCTTTCTTTTTTTGTGGTGGTGGTGGTGGGGTTGTTGTTTGAGACAGGGTCTCACTACATAACCCTGGCTGACCTGGAACTGCCTTTGCAGACTGGGCTGGCTTTGAACATATGGAAATCTACTTGCCTCTGCCTCCTGAGTCCTGAGACTAAAGATGTGCAATACCATGCTTGGCTCGAGGCCTATATTCTATACATATACTGTAATCACTGAACAATATCCTCAGCAAGAATAGGGTATGTTGTTAACTATCATCATGTTGTACA